GTTAAAGCTAAAGCATCTGAAGGCACTTCCTCCAACCACAGGATGACAGAAGCATAGACAAAGAACCAGAAGAGACCACCAAGATTGTCTGGTCACAGAGTGAGAGTTGGAAGGAACTTTGGAAGCCCTCTATCCAGTCTAAAGTCCCATTGCTTCTTTTCATAAATGAGGAAACTGGGCCAACAATCAGCAGTCAGAGATGAAGTGGCTGAGGTAAGCCCAGGTCTTCTCACTTCAAGTGCTGTGCACTCTCCACTCTCCCTACCAGGCTCTCACGGTGCAAAGCACCATGACCCGTGTGCAGGAGACATCAGCGTAAATCAGAAATCAACCTGGCCTGTGAGAGGCTTACAATCCACAGGGAAGATAAGATAAACACCTACGCAGCTATTCTGCAAAAGAGGATAGCATATGAAAGTACCCAGGAGAGGTATAAAGTACCATGAGAGTTTAAAGGAGGAAGAGATTATTCCTGGCTGGGGGTGATCAGGAAAGGCTTCACAGAGGAGTTCTCAACTGAGCCAGATCCTAAAGAGTAAGGTTTTTCAACAGGCAGGGGACAGGCAGGAGAAAAAGTGAGGAAAGGAGGGCATTTCAGACTCAGGAAACAGCATGAGCAAATAAATGGAAGCAGTTAAGTCCTGGCATGTGCTTACTGCCAGCTGTCAGTCCAGTTTGCCTGGACCACTGCGTATCTGAGAGGGCACAGTGTCAGATAATGCTAGAAAGGTAGGCTGATCGCTGAAGACCTTGGCATGCCAGGCTAAGGAATCTGGGCATCATTCAGTAAGCAATGGGGAACTATTAGCCTTTCAAGACACTCACCTGAAGGCTAACCCAATTACTAGGCTTTCTTCCCACCAGAGTAACCGCCACCAACCACACCAGAGGAGGCCACTTCCTCCTCCAGATATCCCTTGCATCTCAAAGCATTTCAGACAGATGGGAATGGGAGTAGATGGACTTCCCCTCCTCATATCCCAGTAAATCCTAATGAGAACCTAGCAAAGCAGGGAGGGAAATAGGGCTGGGCTGATGTTTCCCACTGACTCCCAGACTCAGCTACAGTATGAACTGCCTGAGTATTTCCTGGGTCTTCCTTTGTCTGAACTAAATCCTGGAACTTCCATGCTGGGGAAAATTAAATGTAGCCCTCACTCCCTCCCACCACGAGCAGCAACAACTGTGCTCAGTAAGATGTAAACAGCCTCCCCCTTTAAAATCACACACACACACACACACACACACACACACACACACACACACACACACCCCAACTTGTTACCACTTCCTCAGAAACTTCATTGGCACAAACTAAATCCCTTGGAGACTGGGGATCAGCAGGGGGAACCCCTCGCAGCTCCAAACCAACCCCTGGAGACATTATCTAATGATCACATCACCACAGACCTCCATCACGCACTTGACCTACATTTCAGATCTGCTGACCAGCTTCCTCTCCCTGTCTTGCTTCTTGTCTGGGCAGCTCTAACTAGTTGCAACTGGGGCCAGGGGCAGGGAGAATAAAGAGAAAGCCCTTTATGGCTGAATTAAGTCAAGTTTTCATAAGCAAAATGACGTAAAGCCTCACTCATTACACTTTCCCAATTTGGAATTGGTGGGGCTTTGGACAGGAGTTTTGTGCTGTCAGTGAGGAGTCTGCTAAGCAAACAACCATGTGGGCAGTTTGGGAACACTTTAGAAGCTCTTATGTACTTACAATCAGTGACAAATCCCTCATATTCACAAAAGCACAGCCTTTACTTGTTAACATAATGTACTAGCTTCTGCTATTGAATATACTCAGAATAAAGGTGTAGATCTTTCAGCACAGTCTCTGTTAATTCTAGAGGTTTGGCACAATGTAGAAGAAGGAGCACTGGGTCTGCGGGTCAAGAGGTGAGCGGAACCTAAGGCTAAGCCAGACGAATGAGCGGAGATAGGCTGCTTACAGTCAAACACAAAGGGAGAGGAACAGACCAGGGACACTTGTTTAAATGACTCCTTGTAAAGGCACATGTTCTTAATGACATGGAACACAAGGACCTGAGACAGCTGGTGGTACAATGGATTAGAGCACTGGGCCTGGAGTCAGAAAGACCTGAGTTCAAATCTAACCTCAAGCACTTACTAGCTATGTGACCCTGGACAAGTCAGTTAACATGCCTGCCTCAGTTTCCTCATCTGTAAAATGGGGATAATAATAGCATCTGCCTCCCAGGGTTGTTGTGAGGATCAAATGAGCTAATATTTGTTAAAAGAAAAAAAAAGACACTTAGCACAGTAGCTGGCACCTAGTGGGAACTACATAAATGCTTATTCTCTTCCTCCCCTTTTCTGCTAAGTCAAGCTGCAAGTATTATAGTAAAAGCTCAAAGCCTCTAATGGATCAACAATGACCCACTGGGGCACCATTTTCCAACTTTGCTTATGACACTGTTAGACTCTGGTCAGAAGAACCGATTCCTAGTCCTAACTCTGCACCAACTAACTACGTGACCTCGGCAAGTTACTTGTCAGTTTACCTGACTTGTAAAATGAGGAGGTTGGGCCTCAGGTGATTTCTAAAGAGACTTCCACCTCTAAAATCTTAGGAATACGTTTCAGTGAAAGGTGAAAGGAAGGTTTGGGGCTGGCTGCTTCAGCATGCTGTGTTCACCCTTAGATCAACACTGCCACCTACTGAACACACACATTGTGGTCAAGTAAGAAGCAAGGGGCAAAACAAGGACTGAATCAGCAATGCATTCATTTGTTCATTCATTCATTCATTCATTCATTCATTTATTCATTCATTCATCCAACAAATATTTATTGCCCACCAGCCAGAAGTAAAGTTTGTGCTATACGTTACTGGGAATAAAACAGAAGGCGACAATCCCTGCCTTCAAGGAGCTTATAATCTAGTTGGAAAAACATGTAACTCATAAGGCAGCATCTTATGCTCTAAATGAGTCTGGAGCAGGGAGAGGGAATTACATATGGTCTGATGGAGTCAAGAAAGCTCTATCAAGGTGAGAAGATTTAAACTAGACCTTGAACAGAAGTTAAGATTTGGTTGGGGAGAAGGTGTGCTACACTAGCAATCAAAAGGGGGATTCTAAAATATCCCTAATCTCACAAGTGTTTTAGGGCTAACCTGCCCCCCACACTCCCCTTCTCAACTAACTAGCCTCCAGGCCCGAAAACATGAAGGAATCAGAGCTCCCCAGAGGCCAGATAAGATCGGTGACTTGCACAGAGCACATCAAGCCTGGGTCACAGACTCAGCCAGTCAGTATTCTCCCTGTTTCAATCCTACTTGGAGATATTTCTTACAATAAATATAGTATGAACTTTCCTCCCCTCTTTTCAGAGGTGGAGAATTAGAGTTGTGGAAGAATACTGTGAGACACAATTGATACGCTGATTAGTTCTGCTGAAATGCTTTTCTTTCTTTTTATTATTATTATTAGTATTATTATTTTGGTGAGGTAATTGGGGTTAAGTGACTTGCCCAGGGTCACACAGCTAGTGAGTATCATGTGTGTGAGGCCAGATTTGAACTCAGGTCCTCCTAACTCTAGGGCCAGTGCTCTATCCACTGTGCCACCTAGCTGCCCCTTCTTTCTTTTTTAAAATCTCTGTTACAAGGGACAGCTCACTGGGTTGCAGGAAGGCTATGTTGGGGGGGGGGGGGAAATGATGTAATAACAAAACATATGAATACAAATAAGATCTCTTTAAAAAAGAAATATGGCATGAGCAAAGGCTGGAAGATTAGTAGGCCAGTCTGGTTAAACCAGAGTTTATATAAGGGATCAGAAAGGGATGGGGATCAACCAGCCAGACCATGAACACCTCTCACCTGAACTACTGCAATACCTTCTTAATTGGGCTCTCTGCTTCCAGCCTCTCGCAGGGGCGAGGAACCTGCAGGCTCAAGGCCACATGTGGCCCTCTAGGTCCGCAAGTGTGGCCCTCTGACTGAATCCAAACTTCAAAGAACGAATACCCTTAATACAAGGATTTGCTCTGTAAAACATGGACTCAGTCAAAAGGCCACACCCAAGGACCAGGTTTCCACCTCTGCCAACCCTCTCTAACCCATCCTCCTCACAGCTGCCAAAATTAACCTTCCTGACAATGTCCCTCCACTACTCAAAAATTCTTCAGGCCTCCCGATTATTTCTAGGATAAAATTCAAACCCTTCAGCCAAGTGTTTGATGACCTGCACAATCCAGCTGCAGTCCACTCTTCTAGGCTTAACTCACCTCACTCCCCTGCACATAACTCACTGCATTCCTGCCACATGGTCCAACTGTCATTCTCTGAATTCACATTTCGTTTCCTTCTACCATGCCCAGAATGCATTCCCTCCTCATTTCTGCCTCTCCCATTGAGGTTCGGTTCAAGTGCTCCCTCCAGTGGGAAGCTTTTTCTGATATTTCTACCTGAAAGGGCTCCCTCCCTCCCTGTACTGTTTGTTTTTCCATTTTTATCCTTGCACCCTCAAACACCTACATAGAACAGAGATTTGCACATAATAGGCACTTAGTTACTAAATTTTCACTGAATTTAATTGGAATCATGTTCAGGAGAGCCCTGAATACCAAGCTAAGGAGTTTGGTGTTTATTCTGTTATAATAACAACAATGATAAAAATAATAATAATAGCAATAATTGTAAAATGTCAGCTATTATTATTGTATAAAGACAATAGGGAGTCCCTGGAGATTTCCAAGTAGAACTTTGCATTAGGAAGATTAATCTGATAGCTGTGTGTAGGATGCACGGTACAGCAGAGAGCATGTTGGACTTGGAGATGGAGGTTCAAATCCTGGCTCGGACCTCTCTTCTTCCAAGCTCCAGATAAATATTTTTCAACCGATTAATGAAAGGCTTCCTACCCCCACTTAACCTTGGCACCTAAACAGTTCATAAAAAGTGATGTAGGGAGAGGGACAGGGGCCTCCTCTTCCTCATGAGGTCACCCAAGACTTTATTTGGTGACACTTACCCCTGGAATCTCTAAAAGGCCAGCAACCAGAAGAGGCAGCTTTAAGGCAGCCACACTCCCAGTGACTCCCACAAGAACATTGACATTTTTCTTCCTTGATGATAGAGCTGTTCCCGATGCAGGCACTGGCTCGGAATACAGGCTGGCTGCAACAGCATCAGGTTCTAGGGAACCACATGCCCTCGGCTCCATGACATACCTTGGCAGCAACGTACAGGACCTACAGACAGAGGAAGGTGCATATTCTCAGTCTGTATCCCTGACAACTGGGGCTAAAAATTGGTGCCAGGAACCTTAACTAAGAAGCTCCATTGTTTATATTTGTAAACAGCATATTTAAAGAGAAAAATGCTGTACAGAGAGGTACTCTGCCACCAGTGCAGAGGCAAACACCACTTTTGGGGGGAAGCAAGCTCAGGCAGTCTTTCCTAATTCCTAAATTCCTCTGGGATGCCCTTATTGGTAAGGAGCTATCTTGTTGGGTTTTTTCCTCCCACCTCGTTATACACCATCCACACCAGTCCCACGTCTCCAGAGGTCCTAGCGCTCCTTATCCTACCATTACACCCTCTGAAACTCTTGTTCCATTACTAACAGACTGCCCTTCACATGAGGCCTATGTTTTCCCCCTAGAAATTACTTTGTTTACTTACATATGTACATGTAGTTTCTTCCCCAAAATAAGGAAGAGATTATTTCATTATCACTGTATCCTCAGTACCTACGATAGCACACAACAAGGGCTTAATAAACGCTTGTTGAATTGAGCTGAATTATTGTGGCTACAGAGGGTTTCTCAAGGGCTACCATGTCAAAACCTGCAAATGTTGCTGGAGAAAGACCAAGAAAAGTCACTCACCTAATGGACAACTCCTGAATGGCACTAGTAGGCCCTCTGAAAGTAATGAGAGAATATGCTTACAATACCCAGGGACACGATTCATACACATAAGAAATCATCTGTGAACAAGATGATATGGTCCACAGTGCTAAGTATGGAGCACAAGCTAAATTTAAGGCCTAAGAACTTGGGACTGGAAGAGCTGTGAGTGAAAGGAAGATTCTGACAGAACTTAAGCACCTTAAAGGTAGGGACTATTTCCTTTTTTGACTTTATATCCCTCAGTGCCTTGCAAATGGTAGATGCCTAATAAAATAAAATGTTTGTTGAATAAATGGAAACATAACACCATAGAAGTGAATCTAACAACATCTAAAGAACCTGCCATGAAAGATACCAGATGCTCACTGGAGAACCCACCTTCTCTCCTCATAGTCTCTGGCTCCCTATGGCCATCTGTAAGGAAGAGAAACCCCTGCCTAGCACCATCCCCAAACTTCTAATGAGGAATGACAAAGGCAAAGAGAATTAAGTACATGTCAATTATTTTTTGGCTCTTTGGGCTTCTGCAATCTACTCTTGCCCATAAAGACCCCAGCCAACAGAGGCCAGACTTTTCAAAGCAGTAGCTGAGAGTGCTGCACTATCAGTAGCACAAGCTAGTGCCAGCTTGATCTAACTTATCAGTGACCCCAAAGTACCATCTGCCTTTTGGCCTGGGATATGCTGCCCCAATGGCAGGGACATGGGTAGGACTTCCCAGTTGAAAAACTAAACTCCAAATGAATGTACTAAAAGATTACTGAGTAATAAGAAATGGATGGTATGAAGAATTCAAAGAAATGGATGCAGGATGAAATACATAGTACTACAAGAACAATATACTATATACAATGATATAAATGATATAAAATAAAAAGAACATTAAACTGAAGGAACTGAATAACTAAAAAACCAATAATGGTTTCTGAAAATCGATAATGAAACATCCCTCCATTGCAGACAGTTTACACCATCAGCTGAGGGGTTGCTTTTTTGTTCGGAGGGCTTTGAGGGGTTTTCTTTGTTACAAAGGAGGGTTCAGCCCTGCTCTAGACTAACTGGAAGGGGCGACACCCAATTCAATGTATAAGACTTGTGAAAGGCAGCGAGGCAGACAATGAAAGTAAAATTGAAAGTAAAAACAGGCCCAACCTGGAAGAGGCTTATATTCTTCTGGGGGAAGCTGACATGTACACAGATAAGAAAGAACAAAGTAGATACAAAGTAATGGGGAGGGGGAGACATGGTAACAATTGTAATCAAGAAAGACTTGGAATACAGACACGACTGTATTGTGATGATATAAAACCGAAAGGAAACAATCTATCTTATTTTTGAGCATAAGTAACCACTGCTGGGGTACAGGGAGTCATTCAACCAGCTGCACTGGGAAAACCAGTCTTGCCAGCTGGTGGGGAGAGCGTGCTTATTCCCAGCACCTCCATGGCCTGTCCTCCAGAGAATAAGCCACTCCCCCTCCTTGCCATTCCCAAGGGACAACGTGGATTCTGTGCTTTAGGGGAGACAACCAAAGGCTGGACCCCAAACCTGAAGCCAATATCAGTGAGACTGAGCAAGAGTAGAGAGGAGCTCTCAGTTTCTGTTTGGGGACTGGGTTTCATCTCGGTGTCTCAAGAGTTTTCTCATCATGTTATCATCATCACCTCTGGGGAGCAGGTGACCCTGGAGAAATCAGTTCAGTTTAAAGGCAGGAAGCCAGTCATTTATTTCTTTTGTCTCCTCGCCAGAACTGGGCCCCTCCCTAACACAAAGAATGAGCAATACTATTTTGTCTCAGTCTCGAGGTGTGAGTGCTCGGCCCCATTTGGAACAAAACAAAACAAAACAAAAAGACGGATGTCTGCGCATATGTCTGTCCCTTGCCTTCCATCCCCCTACCCAGTAGAACGACTGCTCCTTGGGAGGCGAGGGCTGCTCATTTGTCTCTGTATCCTCAGGGCAGATGGGACACAGCTAGAGGATCAACTCTGAAGCCAGGAGGAGCATTCAAGGCCTGCCCTGAGCTGACCCCAGAGTGTGACCCCAGGAAAGTCACTTGCCCTCTCAGGGCTCTGAACAACTCTCTTAAACCAGAGAGGGTCCTGCCCAGGCAGAGGGACTTTCCTCATCCTGGACTTCTCCGTATCAAGGAAATCGCAGCTCCAGCCTCTACCTCTAGTGCTGTGCCTTGCACACAGCAAATGCTTAATAAATACTTGTTTCACCAATTCATAAACCAAAAAGGTTTTATTAAGTGCCTGCTATGTGCTAGACACTGTGCTAGGCCCTGGGGAAACAAAGACAAAAGCAAACCGTCCCAGAACTGGATTCCCTTTCTTGTAAAATCTGTCTATTGCCCGGGGCCCAATCTGCAGAAGTGGGAGTGAGGGATGGGAGTAGTTACCAATCCGTTGGCTTAAACAAAGATACCGCAACAAGATGCCCAAGACAAGGGTGCTATTCTGTCTGTGTGACCTTGGCCAAGTCACTGCCTTTGCCCCCAGCTCTCCCGCTATAAACAAGGCAGCTGGACTCAGCTGACTTCTTAATTCCTTCTAGCTCTCAGGCTGTTATCCTATGATTATCCTTTCCAGGTCACTGATCTAAGCAGCGGTTATAGAGGCAATAATGGAAACATGATTTCTACGCTCCCAGGCTGAGAGTTTATGGCCATTAGTCTATATTTACTTTAAATTAAAATTAAATACCAAATCAATAAAGTTGTTACTGCATCCTGATCCTGCTGGATTCATGTATTGACACAATGGGGCAAGGCTGGCATGCCCCAAGGAATTGAAGGTGGTACCTCGATTCCCTAACCTCTATCATTCCTCCCCCACCTCCACCCCAGTTCATGTCATAAAGACACAGGTTCACACAGATTCAAGTACTCTCACAACTTCCAATGCCACACAAGGGAAAATTCTTGGCTCAAGTTCAAACAACTGGCTAACTGGAATCAAGCATCTACTATGTAAGATTCAAAGCCAAAAATGAAATAGCCCCAACCCTCCAGAAGCTTCCATTCTATCGAGCTAATGAAGCCCTGAAAGCCATTGTGGGTCCTTAGTCTCAAAGCCCACTGCCACATGCTGATCCCACCTGTCAGTACAGCATAATTAACAGGGAGCTTAAACTGTAGCAGGTAGGATTTAGACAAGACACTAAGCTAATCACAAGTGTCTTGTAAAGATTTTTATGAAACAAGAAGAGGGCTAATTTTCAAGAAGTGAAGTTTTCCCAGTCATTTATTTAAAAGAGGTTTTATTGATCTTTTGTTTTCAGATCACAATAATTTCTGGAAATACTCCCTTGATCTCCTAAGCTGAACCCTCCTTTGTTACAAAGGAAAACAGTTAAGCACAAAAACTCAAGGGTATTTTAAATAGAATCCAGCCTGGAATCTATGGGCAACAAAATATAGTATAAGCTTAGTCAAAAATCCTGTTAGTAACTCTTGGTAACAGGTAACAAAGTAATTAACATATGTAAAGTGCTTTGCAAAGCATAAAACATTATGTAAATGTTAGCTACTAATACTATTAATAATAGTAATAAAAAGCTGACATTTACATAGTGTTTGGTAGTTTTTAAAATACTTTGCAGTTACCTTATATGAATTATTTTTGAGCCCCCCATCACCTGAAAAAGGCCTAAAACCTGGATTGGCCAATCAGGAGAAAGATATTTTGGCCCACTTGAGCTTAACCTCCCATAACGGTCTGGCATAATAGACATGCTTTGCTTTGCTCTCTGAGTGAACCCAAAATGCCCCTTCCTGTGTCAGCAACTACAAGGCCAGATGAAGCTGACCAGGAGCATTCTTCTGTTTATGACTACCAAGGATAAGGTGCCTTGAACTGGACACTTTCTTGAATAATGGGCCTTTTATTCTGTTTTCTTATGTTATATTATGTCATGTTAATAGTAAAAGAAACACAGACATCCTGGATCTATAATTTCAACTGACATCTTGACATCCTCTTATCTTATTGTATTTACAACCTATCCTATTAAGAAATCCCTTTCTCACATTACGGTTAAACACATATGGAGACTATAATTTTGGGTCAACACAGATATCCCGAGTTGGGATTGCTCTAAGTGTATAAAGGGTCTCCTTCAGCTTGTTTGCCTCTGAGTTCAAAATTATTTTCTGATATCATTATGCAAGAGTCTCTAGCTTAATGAGGATAAATAAGCACATTATATCACGTGTACAGCCTGATTCTGTTTGTTCCTTGGTCAAACCTTTAGTAAGGTGAACCCCAATCTGTTTCTTCTTGAACAAACCTTTGGTAAGGAGGACCCCATTCTGTTTTTTCTTAGGGTAAACCTTCAGTTATGGGAAAAACTGCTTCTGTTTGTTTCTTTGAACCAAACCTTTCGTATGCGGTTGACACTTAATTTGCAATACCCTGCAGAGAACACAGGGTAGATACTGTTAATTACCCTTAAAGATGAGAAGAAAACTAAGGCTCAGAGGTTGGATACCTGCCTAAGGCTTCACAGGGGGTAACAAAGTTAAAGAGCCAGAACATGACTCCAAGACTTGGGACTCCAAATCTATTATTCTTTTTTTTTTTAAGTGTAATGGCACAAAAAATACTGAAAAAAGAGTCAGATGCCTGTTTTTGATTTCTGGCCCTAACATTTACTAAGTTGGACTCAGAGACTGGATAAATCTAGATAAAACCTTTGAGATGAGTCACCCTCTCTGAACCTGTTTCCTGATCCATAAAATGGGAGTGATGAACCCTGCTCTGTGTACCTCACCAGGGACGTGTGGATCAAATGAAATAACACTATATATAAATTATCTGCTTTGTAAGATATAATGTGCAATATGAATGTTAGGCATTACTGTTAACTGTACCAAAAGCTAGTGTCTGCTGTGAGGTCTCTTCATATTTCCTGGCAGAGACAGCATCTGGCCTCAGAGTAGGGGTAAGCCTGAGAGCACCTGACTGGAGTGGAGAGGAAAGGGGCAGAGAAGAGCAGTTTTTGATAAGGGGAAGGGAATAGACTTGACTTAAATGACCTCTGGAGGTTCCTAGTATGCTATGAACAACAAAAGGTTAAAAAAAAGGAGAAGATGGATGATGCCTCCCAGTGGACCAGAGACAACTGGCATCCTGGGCTTCAGATAAGCTTCCTTTCTACAAGGAAATGACTTCGAGATCCAGAAATTCCAAAGGTGCAGTATCCTTCCTTAAGTCAATGTTCTATCTCATAGAAGCCCATTGGACACACAAAAATGTTTTTGAATCAAAACTACTTCCTAAATGAATCACTCTATGACGCCCTGGTACGAGGGCCACTCCTCCTACATTTACAAATACACATGAAGGGGACCTTCTCTCACAGCAGGAAGTCCTGGACCACCTCATTGGCCAATAAAAGGTAAGGCCAAGCAAATGACCTATTTCTTAAAGAGTCAATCTAAGGGCAGCTAGGTGGTGTAGTGGATAGAGTTCCAGTGTTGGAGTCAGGAAGACCTGGGTTCAAAGTTGACCTCAGACACTTGACACTTACTAGCTGTGTGACCTCAGTTTCCTCATCTGTAAAATGACTCTTTGATCCCAAAGGCCCCTCCCAGCTAGCTGAGTTCCCACAAGCTTCTCTAACCCAGCCCACCTCCATCCCCCTGCCCCATCAGTGTAGAGCTCACTTTTGGCGTCACTTAACCCCAAATGCCTCACCAAAAAAAAAATAGTCAGTCAAACCCTATATGTATGACATTAGGCGATGATGGTCTACCACCCAAACTGGAGTCTGATTCTTACCCTGCTGAACAGTATAACACATTATGAGTATGTAAAGATTACATTTATAAATGCACATAATTTGAGAATATATTTTTAATAATTCTGTTCTCCATGGCACAAGGAGGTTTATGTTGTGATAAATCAAGGCTCTGCTACTTAATACCAGGGTGACCTTGCTTAAGCAAGGCACTCAGCCTCTCACTTTCTTCATCTATATAAAATGAGAAGGTTGAACTTAATTTTAAGATCGATTTCTAACTCCTGGTCTATGAGGGGCAGGTATGCCACTGAAGGCTTGAAGTTTCAGGTGACAATAACAATATGTACATTAATTTCTAGGATTTGCATAAGATACATAAATGCCTTGCCCCCACTGACTAATAGGGCAGTGAGTAAGTTTTTGCTATCCAGCCTAGTCTAGTGGAAAGGGTACCTGGCTTGGAATTAGAAGTCCTGGTTATGAATCTGAGCTCTTATACACAGAATCTGTGCTTTCACTTCCAGTGACTCATAATAACTGACATTAAAAGCTCTTTATAAGTAAATAGTATGAGGGTAGAGACCATTTCCTTTTTGGTTTTGCACCTCCCAGCTCCTAAGTAGTGACTGGCACACAGTAGGGATTTAATAAATGCTGAACTGAATTATTTCACTTCAATCTCACATCTGACTTAGGTATTATGAGGCAACTGAGATACAGAGAAGTTAAAGTGATTTATTTGCCCATGGTCCCACTGCTACTAACTGTGGTTACATTTGAACCCAGGCCTCTTAATGCCAAATCCAGAGCTCTTTCCAGTTTTCCAGGTTATAGTCTTAGACTCACAGAGCACTCTTAATTTTCCCAAAGTACTTCCCCACATATATTCCCCAACCTTCTAAATCTGGGGTACACTTACTCCCAAGGGGGTAGTAGCTTGTCAAGAGAGTAAGGGGAATATTTGGTAAATAATTCTATTTACCAGGCAGCTAGTTCAGCCTCAGACCCTTACTAGCAGTGTAACCCTGGGCAAGTCATTTAATTTCTGTATGCCTCAGTTTCCTCATCTATAAAATGTGCATACTAGCAGCATATGCTTCAAAGGGTTGTTGTGAGGATCAAATAAAATGGGATCCTATGATTTCAATGTATACAATAGTTAACAATAACTAGCATTTTTACAGCTCAAATGGGATGTGTCAAGCACCATGCATGTGAGCCTTACAGCAGTATATTACATTGTCCCTTTAAGGTTTGCAAAGTGCTTGGCACATTATCTCATTTGCTATGAGATGATTATTTATATATATAAATAGTATATATAATTTATATGAGTGTACATGCCTGCATGTATGCACATGTGTATATATGCACATATGTGTATATATTTACATGTGCACATATAAAATTAATGATACATTCATCTCTATATCTACGATCTCATGGTTCCAATGGGATAATAGTTAATAAGAACTAGCATTTATATATTATATATGATAGTCAGATATTATTTATATTCTATATAAACTGAGGCCCAGCGAGGGGGCGCGACCTTGGGTGCAACCTTTCACCCTCTCCTGCCCCGAGGTGGAAATGAAGCCCCCCCCCCTCCCCGCCCTCCCTCCCACTGAGGGCTTCCGCTCCGTGGGTGACTCATTTCCTCTCTCTGGGCCTCAGTTTCCTCATCTGTAAAATGAATCTTTGATCCCAAAGGCCCCTCCCAGCTAGCTGAGTTCCCACAAGCCTCTAACCCAGCCCACCTCCACCCCCCCTGCCCCATCAGTGTCGAGCTCGCTTTTGGCCTCACCCCCAAGCCAGGTACGTCTCCCACCGGGCCTCCAAATCTCGCGACACTTTAGCTCCCCAGCCCGTAACCCCAGACTGGCAACCTCGCGAGAGACTGCGTGCGGCCGGTGGCGCGCAGCCTGATGGGAGTTGTAGTTTGTCACTCGGTAGTCAGCCATCTCCGGGAGAAGGCGGTAATGGCTGGGGTATCTCGCGCGTGGAAAGATCTACTGCGCAGACTCGGGCTCCCCAGTGGGTGGGGAGGGATCCACGCCCACCTGGGCTTCAAGCCCGGCTCTTTCTTTCCACCTTTATTAAGTGCTTACAATCAACAGGGAATTGTAGATAACAGCGTGGTTTGCTGAAGGTCTTGGACGGTTTATATTTTTAATAAGAGCACAAATCACCTGCGCAAAGTCATCTGTGACCGCTCTGCCTTTTGTAAATTATCTGCTGTCTACTCTGGACACATCTTGCACGTACGTGTAGTTATTTACATGTTGTCTCTCCCCCCATTAGACTGTAAGCCCCTTGCGGGCAAGGACTGTTTTTACCTTTGTATCTCTACTGTCTAGCATAGTGCCTGGCACATAATAGGAGCTGTTAAATGGTTCTTGACTAGCAGTCTCTCACTTCGCTCTCCCAACTCTGATCTCCTCCAGTATTTAGGATTCGGTCCACAATCCTTTACAGGTTTTAGCACTAGAATTAAAATTTAGCCCCAGGAAGATCTAAAATGCAAGGGATCCAAGCCTTCAGCCATCCTTACATTTAATTAGCATTTGAGGAACTTAGTAAATTCTTGTCCATTGAGTGGGAAACCCATGCTGCACGATTTTTGCCACCAACACCGTGGTTCCTACCGACATCCTCAGGTACTCGCAAGACCACCCACCCTCTTCAGGAGGCTCTCCCTAATTAACCCCTTTCAATTATCATGTCCTTGTACTTCTGCAATTAAACATATAGATATATACATGCATATATTTCGTATTTGTATATGTGCATATACATACATATATACATATATGCATACATACATATCTATACATATCTCTATTTCTGTGTGTATATATAGTATGTGTGTGTAATACATATATACATTTTTTCTCATGATCATACCATGATCTGACATCTCCCCATTTAGACTGAGCTCCTGGAGATCAGGAATGTTTCTGTTCTTTATTGTACTGCTCATGTTGCTGAGATAAAGTTCTGCCCCCAGCAGATTTTCAGTCACAAGTTAGGTTTTTTTGGTCTATGGAATGTACTTTCCAAATCCTTTGCCACGCTCTGCCCCACCCCACCCTAAGATGTTTAGTTCTTTGAGGCACCAGAAATGTCCCCTTGCAAAGGATACCAAGGAGTCCTGAATGTTCCAGATGGGTCTTATTTGTAGGGAATACCTATATACTGTCCAACATGCTACATGCAAGAGTCTACAGGCCAGGTCTACCCTGCAATGGAAGGACACAGGGCAATGGATTCTGCTGGTAGTATTTTTTTTAAAAAAAGGCCCTGCTCAATCCAACCATCCCTGCTGGCTATCACCTAATAGCTAACACCCCTTCTCAGCTGAACTGCTTGAGATAATCTAAACTCAGTGCCACCTCTACTTCCTCTTCCCTCATTCTCTAATCTGCCTTCCATCCTCAATATTCAACTGAAACTGCCTTCTCCAAAGTTACCAGTGATCTCTTAACTGAAAAATCCCATGACCTTTCCTCAATCTTCATCCTTCTCTGCAGCCTTTAATATTGGCCATCCTCTCCTCTTGGATACTCTCTTCTCTTGGTTTCCATGACACTGCTCTCTGCTGGTTCTCTGCCTACCTATCTGACCACTCCTCAGTTTCCTACACTCATTCTTCCCTCAGGTCAGGCCCACTCACCCTAGATGTCCCCCAGGGCTCTGTCCTGAATCCTCTTTTCTTCTCCCTCTATACTATTTCACTTGGTGCTCCCATCAGCTTCCATGGGCTCAATATTCATATGTGCAGATGATTCCCAGATCTATGTACCTAGCCCTAGTCTCTCTTCTGAGGTCTAGTTCCCACACCACCACCTGCCTTTTGGACATCTTGAACTACCCCATAGGTATTTCAAATTCAATATGCCCAAATGAAAACTCATGTCAAAGGCACCTCCTGGTCACCCAGGGTTGAAACTTTGATGTCATCCTTGACTCCTCAGTCTCAATCACCCCATTTACCAACCTGTTGTCAAATCTTGCTTCTCCCTTCACAACCTCTCTCATGTACGTGCCCTTCTCTTCATTAGCCACAATCCCAATTCAGGCCCTCTTCTCTCATCTGGACTCTTCCAATGTTCTTCTGGACGGTTTCCCTGCCTCAAGTCTCTCCCTAATTCAGTCCATCCTCCACTCAGCTAGAGAATTGATTTTCTAAAAGCTCAGTTTTAACTCTGGCATCCCCCCTACTCAACAAACTCCAGTAGCTCCCTATTGCCTCCAGCATCAAATATGAAATCCTAAACCTGGACCCTTCCTACCTTTCCAGTCTTTTTTACACTTTACTCCCACCATGAATTCAACTTGAGATTCCTCACACATGACTCTCCATCTCCCAACTCCATGCCTTCACCCTGGCTCTCTTCCATCCCTCCTTGCCTCTGACTCCTAGATTCCCTGGCTTCCTTCACGACTCATCTCAAATCCCACCTTCTGCAGGAGGCCTTTCTCAGTCTCTCCCCCATTCAAATAGTGCCTCTCCTCTGATATTCCCTTCCATCTACTCTGTCTATATCTTGTATGTACATAGTAGTTTATATGTCATCTCCACCATTAGAATGTGAGCTCCTTGAAGAGAGGGACAGCGTTTTTGACTCTCTTTGTATCTCCAGCATTTAGCACAGTGCCGGGCACATATTAAGTGCTTAATCAATTCTTTGTCAACTGTCTAGAACTGAAAGCAGACTGGTTTTGTCATTGGCTCAAGCTGCATAAACAGAATCCTGAAAAATAATCCAAGTATGATGAGGAGGAGGAGGAGGAGGAACCCAGTGATGAGCTTAGTATAATGAGCTCCACCTAAGGACAAAGGACACAGTTCGAGTCCAAGGTGCCAGATGATTCTTGTTTATTGTTAATAAGTCTACAGAGTCGACATTCAGTTACCAGGGACAAACACAGAATGGCTCAAAGTGGGGATTGGCACAGGGAATGTGACCACCCCCCAGTGAGTAACATAAAAATACCTTCTGTCCAATGGAGGGTGTCAGAACAAAAAGAAAATTCAGTTATTCTCCAGAGGGCCAGGCGCTGACAAGGGACCAGAGAACACTCCTTCCCCTTCCCCTCAATCCCACCCCGACCCCTGCTCTAGGCCTACATTGGCATCTTCTCCAGGTTCCTCTCCCTTTGCCCGAGCCGGACAATAAGTACCTACCTCTTACTTAGATTAGTTCAGAATGTAGGAAGAGAGGAACCGCCTGCCTCTCAGAGAAGCTACGAAGGAGAGAGAGAATGCAAGCCCTCCCAGCCCTTCTCTGGGGTGGGGCAGAGAAGTGCATAGATCCCCAGAACCAGAGACCCCACTTCCTGGGAGGGCAGACTAGGGCAGCACCCAATGGACTGGGCTTCTGGCCAAAGACTACATAACCTACCCATTTGTTAGCCTAAAATCACCGCTTGGCCTGTGGTCTCCAGCAGGTCTGAGCAGAAAGGACTCTGGGAAGAAATGCAAAGTGAACACGGCAGACAGAATACTAGGTAAAAGTCCCAGTGAAATTATGATCCTCATAGGAAGCAGGCTTGAGAGAAAATGACCTCACGCTGCATTGTAGGGATCTTCTGGGGTTATCAGACAGAAAGCAAGTCACAAGTTTTCTAAAAAGGACCGACAGCACCAGGAATCTGGGGCTGGGGACACAGGAGAAGAAGTGAAGGACAACTTACCTGTTGACCCTATCATCCCTTTCCACTATGGGGCAGAGGAGGGAGCAGCATTTGTCTGGTCTCATGTGGAAGAGAAAACATAGTCCGGAGAAGCAAGCATGAGACTGAGAGCCCAGAAATGCTGGGGTTGAGTCCTGATTTTTCCACTCGCTAACTACGTGACCTTGAGCGAATATTTCCTCTCTCTTGGCCTCAGTTTCCCCATCTCTAAAATGCAACGAGTTGGACTAGATGGTCTCTAAGTCCCCTTTCAGTTCTAACATTCTAGGACTATGTGACTCTCCAACCCAGTCACCTTAGGTTCCGAAGCTAGTATCTTATTGTCCTATGGAAAGAAGCAATTAACAGGAAAGTGGAATTAGATATCTACAGAACCAAACTTGAGAACCAGTTTAAACAAAGTCTTCCCATGCAGTTTTCAGTTCTTACAAGGGATCACTGGCTCCCTAAGTGCAGGGAACCCAAAAGGGCCTCCAAAAGGTTCTTGAAGTTGCCTGTGTTAATCCATGGCAAGGCAAGGGCCCAGAGCCCCAGAGGCCTGATAAATCTGACAGTAGCAAAGAGAGATTCACTACTGTAAAGGGCACTCAGATGTCAAGCGATCACATAGTCAGCCACATGGAGGATAAACAAAGGACCCAGAGTATCTGAGAGATTACCAACCAGGGTTGCATGAGGCCCCAGGACGGCAGATGGCTGGTCTGCCCAAAGCCTCTATCTGGTCTCTATTGATCAACAAGCAGCAGAAGAGGGGATCAGCCACAAGAAGCATCATATTGAGCACGCTGGTACGAATGCTGATGTCGCCGCTGGATGAAGTATTCCCTTTCAATATCATATACAGGATTGAAATTCAGAATGGGTTTGGGTTTTTTTCCTGTGCCCTTCACAAAGACTGACGGTCATAATACAGAAGCCAGTGTATAAAGCAACTGGAGACATCAAGGATGGGAGAGTGGGTGGAGAACTATTGCTGCCTGACCCTAATGGGAATGGTCCATAGACAGCAACCTTCACTTCTTTCAAACACAGAAGACCAAATTTTGGCCTTTGTGCTGAGCAAGGAGCCAAACATCAACGCTGGCGTAGAAGTGGGAAGAAGCCTCTGTGTGTCATGGGGGATGAAGTTTTGTTAGCCCCATACAATTCTCTCCAAGTCATGATTGATATTAAGATGACCCCAAAGACAGTGAGGCTTAGAATGGGCCTCAGCCGCAGGGACTCTTGGCATCAGCTGGTAAGATTTACAGTGGCCAACGTTTCCTTGATTTTGAAGGCCCTGAAGTCGAGACAGCTCTCCTGTTGGAAATTCTTTTCTGTTCACAGTGCTTCCATCTGAGGCTGGTCACATGTGTCTTTACAGATTTGTCTGGCTAAGTCCATAGTCAATATTCTGAGTCCTGTCCCTCTCATCAGACTAAGAACTCTCCAAAAGTAGAGATCCCAGCAGACGAGGGGTTCCATGTTGAAAACAGCTTATTTCTTCCCCATCAGACTTGGAGAGGGGAGTGCTTGAGGTTAGAAATTGTGAAATTGTGTATTCCCATTAGATCGGAGCTTCTCTACACTGGTATCATCTCTGTCCATCAGATTGACTGGGACTGTGTCTGGGGAGTGGGTGTGTGAGTGGGAGTACCCAAAGGAGGTCTCTGGCCACACAGAGCACATGAATAAAGTCCAAGCAAGCATGATTAGAAATTTTCTGATGAACCAAGCAACCCAGTTTGGCTCACTTCCATTTGGGGTCAAGGGCTGAGGACACCTGAGGACCAGAGACCTTAATTCCCATTGCAGGGCAGACATTCAAGGGCCAAGGGCAAAACCCTATCAATTCCTCCTGCGCCTGCAGACTGGAGCCATCATGCCATGCAGCTACCATGGTGTTTCAAAGGTCAGAACAGATCATGTCTCCTTCACGTCCCCAGATTGCTAGATGCCTATAACCTGTTTAGCCTCCCTGGGCAGGGACCCCTGATCATTCCAGATATATGAGTGTATACCACAGCATTCTCAACTCAAGCTGCACTTTTACCTGTTAGTCCCAGATGATGATTGTTATCAACTGTCAAGAAGTGATTGAATGTCTGCCCTTTAAAGGAAGCTAGTTTTTTCCCCTTGTAACATGCAAATACCACTGGGCATCAAGGAGGAACAGGAAGGGTTGAGCAGCCATAGGTAAGTAGAGATAAGGGAGCCTTTGGCATGGACAGGATTTCAACAGGCTAGAGGGTAACCTGATAAAAAGTCTCAAGTCTCAGAGCGTCACTGGTGAGGGTGGGCAGGTTAAGCTGTGAAGAGGAGGAGAAGAAAGAGGGCCAAAAAGAAGGGGAAGAGAGTCAGAGGAAACAACCTGGGACAGGGAAAGCCACTGCTTTGTTCTGATGGAGGCTTGAAAAACTGTTCCCTGTCTAAGTCTGGCCTCTTTCCTCTGTCTTTGCAGGCTGAGATCTCAAAGTCATGAACACTTTTCTATATTCTGCATGCACACACTATTCAAGTTACCCCTACTTGCTACTCCTCCCTCATTCCAGGAACAAACACTGTCATGACACAAAGCTATTAAGGAGTTCCAAAGATCCATTTTCCGGCTATGGGGCACCCCACCATCCATACCCACACCTGGCCAGCAGAGCACTGTGTGGGACTGGGGGCATCTCAGCTCCCCTAAGCTTGGAAGGACCAGGCAGGAGACCAGCAAAGGGATGGAGATGTCACTCATCTCAGCCCTGGATAAAGGCAGGGAATAAACCATCTGACTTAGGTCATTTCCTATGGCTCAGACTCAATCTGTGAAACACTAGGTTTCAGGAAGGCCAAGGGAAAAATACACATTGGGCACAGGGGAGAAGGAAATGGACTGAGTGCAAGAGATGAGAAGCAATAAAATAGAAAATTAGAGAGAAGAAGAGAGGCTAAGTCAAAGAAAAAGGAGAGCAGGTGGGATAGTTAACTCAGCCCTGTAGTGTATCAATCATACACTAATACTGTCATTTTCTAACACACTGAAGAAACCATCCCTAGCTCGTGACACCATGGCAGTGAGGAAGAGCTAAGAGGTGGTAAAGAGGAGACATCTCAGAAGTCCATACCTCCTCCCCTACCCACACCCCCAATTAACAGCTTCAAGAGAAAGAGAGCAGGGTGGGCAAGAGTCCATTGGGAACAATATCCTGAGCTGGTCTGTAACGGGCAGCCCTGTCCAGCTCCAAAGTCAGGCAGAGAGGATGTCTTTAGCTGTCATATCAAGTTGGAGATGAGGTCCAGGCGGGGTAAGGGGAGGGGAGGGAACCAGAATGCCGTGGCTCTGGGGACTGGCTTGATTCTAAAACATACTTAGCCCACGACAATGGGTGTCTCCACTCTACACTAGATCACGATGAAACACAGACACACAGGTACTACCACATAGCACCATCTGCCACATGGACCCACGGCTTCTGCAGATACCACAAAGGGAAAATGGGGTTGGGACAGTGAGAGGGGAAATATACATATATATGTAATTCTTTTCCTTTTTACAAAGTAGGAAGGTAGGGAAAGAAAGGAAAAGATAGGAAAGTACAACCCCAACTTAATCACCAAGATGGCCTCAAGGCAGCTTTAGATCCGCTCCTCTCCTCTCCCTGCCTTCCTACTTTCCCCCTTCCCTGCCCTCCCAGTCTCCTGTTCACATCTCATTAGAATAAGTGTAATTGGGGGTGGCAGAGTATGGATTCTGATGTTGGCTCACAGCTCCCTGGGCAGCCCCCATGGCAGCATTCTGGGCTGCCTGCTGAACATGTGGGTTCTTCCAAGCCCCAGTAGTCCACTCTTCTTGGGCTTTACTTATACTCCCACCACTGCCCCGGTAGAATTTATGAACCTGCAGTCAGAGGACAGAGATGAGAAGGATGGGATTGGGAAGAAAGGGGAAGAGATGGAGAGAAAAAAGGTTAAGTGAAAAGAAAATCCAAAACTTTCCTGCCCCAAAGTTCTAGGCCTTTCTAGATGAGCATCCTTTCCTCTAATAGGCTGATGTTTCTCTTTTTTCCAGTTGAGGGAAAAAAGGTACCAAGAAAGCCAATGGCTTGACTAGAATGGGAACCCAGAAGTCCTAGCACCCAACCCATATTCTGTCTACTAGTGGGAAAGCTCAACAGGATTAGAAAGAGAGGATGGAACAGTGGGAAGGGAAGGGGCTTTGAATCCTGGCTTTGCTCCTAACTATACTATACCTGTGTGAACTTAAAAAACCTCCCTCTGGCCTTCAGTTTCCTCATCTACAAAATGGGGACGCTAATTTAATGAAGTCTAAGGTTCCTTTGGAGTTCCAAATTCTATGGAGTTGTCACAAATATCAGTTTGGAGGAAAGGGAAAAGAAGAAAGGGGAAGCAGGGTGGGGCACAAGGTAGAAGAGGAGCAGGAGCTGAGACTGGAGCCGATCCACATGCAAAAATGTTATAGCAGACTCCAGGAAAAATTAATGGGGCTCATCAAATGGATGAGAGGGCAGCATGGTACAGCGAGGAAGTTCAAATGCTGCCACTGACAGAAGTGAATCACTGAAATTCCCAGGGCTCCAGGAAACTCCAACACTCTCAGCAGAACAGCTGCCAATCCCAATGCATAAAGGCAGTTTCCCTTGGGCAGTTTCCTACACCAATCAAATCACAGGTCTGGACCAAAATGAAACCCCAAACTCATCAAATGCAAGCATCCTGGGAGGAGCCCCTTCTGTCTGAGGCCCAAGTATCTACCTCCAAATGAGCTAATGCTCCCTCAGTGCTCCCGTGTAGATATAGCCTTGGCTCTTGGTGACCTAGCCAGCCCAGGTCCCCTTAGAGCAGAGAGGTTTCAGGGCTTTCACGCTGATTCCCAGCCCAGCTATCTTGCCAGCTCCATCCAGCCTTGATTACCCCAGATGCCCCAGAGGGCCTACATACCATGCTGAGGGCGATGAAGGAAAAGACAGCCATGAGGGAGAACATGATGGTGGGGATAAGCATCACCACTGCAGCTCCCACATTGGTCCCAAAGAAAGTGATGGTTGCGATCCAGCCACTGCAAGATTTTGGAACCCCAGTTAAGGACCCACCCCATTGCCACAAGACAGGATGATCCCATTAGCACAGGGAGGTAGACTGCCCCATTGGTACCAATAAGGACTACCATCCAAATGGCACTGGGAGAACCAAGCCACTGCCGCAGAGAGAACTATACCATTGGAACCGGGAGGGATCCCACTCCAATGGCACTGGGACAGACCACAATATAGTCAGAGGGAGGAATCCTGCCCCATTGGCCCTGAGAAGGAACACACTCCCATTATTACTAGGAAAGACCCCACATCATTGACCCAAAGATGGGACATCCCAGTACCATACAATGAAGGTTTCTAGTCACAGCAAGTATTCCTCTCCTCCAATAGTCACTACAAGACACTCTTTTTCTAATCTCCCCATTTTTCTCCCCTTTGCTCTCACCCAGTATTTCCCAAAGCAAATACCAGGAAAGTCTGGCATTCAGTGCAATGCAAATAGAGATTCTATGGGGGAATGTCCTTACTAGTGATATTCTTCCTTCTAAGATATTAAATATGAAACATAGTAAAAATATTGATTATATGCAGCAAATTTTCAGCAAGAAAACAGACTAATTTTTCTGTTTCTTTCCAAAATTGTTCCAAAGCATCTCCCTCTTTCCAGGGGACTTGGGTATTTCAGGTTTCTCAGACCATAATTTACGGGCTCCATCAATCTATTTCAAGCCCCAGAGTTTTCCCTGGCTAAACAAGCCGGGGGAGTACTATTCAGACCCTAACTTTTCCACTACCCCAAATTCCAGTTGTTTTCCCAAATCTGCCTGGTTCTGTCTCCGTCCTCTGGAGGACTGCCCTGCCCTGGGCTAAGCCTCCAATGTGCCTGAAGGGCTCTTTACTCTCTCAGTACTGGCCATATCATCCCCATCCCCTCCCAGTGACCAACCCTTCCTTCCCCAGCCCTTCCTTCCATACCAGACTCCCCAGCCAGGAATCCCCACAGACTGGATGATGCTGACGACCAGTTGAGCCAAGAAGGTGAAGAAGAAGGCCATGAAGTTAAAAGAGCTGTCTGATCTGCAAGAAGAGAAGGAAAAGCTGGGGTCATCCAGCAGAGCAGAGCCGCCATTGGCGGGGAAGGGTCGGGAAGTGTGCAGGAGCTTCCTTGATCTAAGAACTTTCCAGCTCTTGCAACTCCAGCAAGTTTGTAATGAGCTAAAGACAATTATAACCCCCTTAGGTCCAGGGGGGACAAATCTCACCCAGTGGGCCACACCAGCTCTTTGGGTGCCAGGCTACTAGGTAGAGCTTCTAATGGGAGCATGGGTTCTTTTCTTTATATGATGCCACAAGGGGTGGGATGGAGGGAGAGTTTAGGAGTGGGCAGCTATTATGACTCCCCCCTGGTGCCCCTGATGTTAACCAAAAACCACTGGGAGTGATTTTATGAGACTGCAGATGGTTAGGGCTTTGCTTGGGGCTCTTGTGTTTATAGCGGCCCTTAGAGGCCAGAGTTATCAAAGGCAGCCTGAAAAAAAGTAGAAAGAGAGCCAGAAGACCTGGATTGGGATCCTGCTTATGTTACTCATTACCTTTGTGACCTTGGGCAAATCTCTGACCTCTCTGGGTCTCAGTTTCCTTGTCTATATATAAAATTAGTGAGTTTAGTTAGATATTTTTCAAAGGTCCCTTCCGGCTATAAATGCTCTGAACCTAGATGGGAAAAGTCTCCACACTCTCCCTAGGCCACAGATTGAAGAAACTCTACGGGCCGAGATCGGGGTAGGAAGCACTAGGCAAAGCTAGAACATTCCTGCTATTTCAAAGGGAGTTCTGAAGCACTCAACTGCCTCTGCCAGAGCTAGGCTTTTTGTTCAGGGCCTCTCTAGAGTTGTAATATCTATCTGCCTGCCTCAGAAGAACCTCTCAAGGAATCATTAGGCCTTGTCTAAATATCTGGGGCAAGAGATCCCAAACCCTCTGAATAGGCAGTCCTGGAGAGAAGGGAGAGAAACAGAAGGAGGGGCAAAAAGAGGACAAGGAAAAAGAGACACAGACAGAAAAAGAGAGGGGTACTGGAGGGGGACAGGAAAGACAAGTATAGGGGGCTGAGATGGGAGGGAGAAAGGTTAGGCTCAGCAGCGACCACTTACTTGAAGGCTTTGTAAATAGGCCGAAACCAGCAGACATAGGAGCAGGGGGTAAAGAGAATGAACCAGAGAAAGGCCAGTCCAAAGTTAACGGCTCCACCGCCTCCAATCAGCCACGCCAAGCAGCCCACCAGGTTCATGGCCAATGTGATGCTGTTTACTGCAAACACACGCATGCAGAAGCACACATACACACACACACCACACATACCACACACACACACAGGACAGAAATTGTAAGAAGAAAGCTGAGACCTCAGGGCACCCATCATTCCCCAGCCCTGGGAAGATGCGGAAAGAGGTGTCTGCACCTCAAAGACCTCCCAGGCCAAGAAGCAAAAACTCCTAAGGCCAGAAAATCCATCTCACAGTTTCCCAAACCTCTGGGGCCTAGGAGTGACCAATGACCAACACAACTGGCCTGAGCTACAACTCCTCCCACACCACTCCCAGCTCACTCTAAAGCCAGGAGGCAATCACCCTCCCAATCTCCTCCACCCCAGGGAATCTCTAACTGGGAAGAAGTTCATGGCCCACTGCTCTGTGCCCACAGGTGCCATTCCTGAATATCCTTAGAGATCTTGGGAACACCTGGTGTGTAAGGTCTCTGATACTTCCCAAAGACAATAAGCTCCCAGTACTTAAATGAGATAAGGTCTCAGAACTTGAACCTCACCCCCCATCCCAGGATCAGCTCTTTGTACCAACAGGGACCTGTGGACAGACACTGGAATCAGATGGGACGATGGGGGTGGAGAGAAAGGCTTAGACATAAAATATTGGAGGTAGAAGGGCACTTAAAGAACCACCTATCCCAACCTCTCATTCAACAGACAAGGAAACAGAACCAGAGAAGGGAAATGACTTGTCCATAGTCATACAGGAAGTTAGTGACAGCCAGGATGGGAACTGAGGACTCCCACTTTTGCATCCACTCAGGTATCATGGAGCAAAGCAAAGAGAGACTCTACTCAAAGCCTTCTGGGAAATGGCCCTTAAATAAATGGTAGAAAGAACCAAATGAGGAATTTCTTCCATTGTCATTTAACTTTAAGGTGATTTCCCCAACCAGACTGTGAATTCCCTGTCTTTTCCCTATCTCTCCCAAAGGACAGCCTGGCACCCACCAAAAACACGAGAGACATGTATAAGGCAAGTAAGAAACCTATTGGCCATCCTGGTTTGATTAATGATAATAATGATGATATTTATTATTTATATCACTCTTTTTAATTTTCAGAGAGCAAAAATATAGCAGATCTCATTTGACCCCCCCAACATCCCCATGAGGTAGGGAAGAGAAGGTATTAATATTCTCATTCAATTGAGTAGTTTGCCCATGGCACACAGCCATATGGGCAAACCACCAGGTTTTCTGAACCTTATGCCAACATTCCATTGCACCAACATTTAATTGTATATTGATTCAATCGAACTACTTTATAGAGATAGAAAAAATATCAATATTCATTTCAAGGAATAAAAGGTCAAGAATCGCAAAGGGAATAATGAAAAAAAAAAGTGGGAAGGAAAGAGGACCAGAAGTACCAGATCTCAAAAGATGACCCAAAATGGGAAACATCAAAACAATTTGGTACTTGTTAAGAAATAGATATTGGGCTTTCTCCCTTTGCTTCTTCTGTCCCCCTCCCCCAACACTTAACAATAGTAATTGCTCATATTTCGATATCACTCGAAGGCTTACAAAGTGCTTTCTTTACCACACCCCTGGGAGATTGGTAGCCCAGGAATTCTCCCCAGTTTAGAGATGAAGAAATTCCAAGAGGTATAGTGCCTTGTTCATAGTCACACAGCAAACATATTCAAGATGCAATTTGGATCCATGTCCAGAGCTAGACACACAATGGACTCTTGATAAAGATGACAAGAAAGGGAAGGAAGGAAGGAAACGCAGTCCAAGTTGTGTTTTATGAAGCCAGAGCCACTTTGATGCCATAAAGAATTCTGTTGGATCAGGAAGACCCCAAAGCTTTCCTGAACAAGCACTGTGGGCTTTACCAGGTCTTAGTATATAGAATACATATTTACAGGCTCTGGGATATATTTACAGGCATTAAATCTAGGCCCTGAAGGGGCAGCTAGATAGTGCAGTGGATAAGCTCTGGCCTTGGAGTCAGGAGGATCTGCGTTCAAAAATCTGGCCTCAGACACATGACACTTACTAGCTGTGTGACCCTGGGCAAGTCACTTAACTCCAATTGCCTCACCAAAAAGGCAAAAAAAAAAATCTAGGCCCTGAGACAAAAGCTCTATAATGGAAACCCCCAAGATCAAGCTGTCTCTTTGCTAAATTGGGTTTTCACTGGTAAATCTAACCCACTTCCAGTTCTCCTTAGGTGGAATAATACTCCCCAAATGGTCATCACCTTTCTTAACAATCAGGTTTGAAACCTTGGAGTGAACCCTCCCTCACTTCCCCTATCCAATCAATTAACAAGTTTTATTTATTCTTCCATGACAAGTCTCTTATCTGTCCTCTTCTCTCTGCTCACATGGCCCCCACCCTAGGTCAGGCTCTCAACATCTCTCACCTGAACTACTGAAATCCTCATGGCCTCCCCAATCCAATCAGTTTCCTGTAGACCACAGCCAGAAAAAAGGGGAGCCATCCAACCACTCAAATGTCTAATCTTTCAGCTACTATAAACCTGCATTCTGTCACATAATAGAAGCATTTATTTGAAGAACACTCTTCCAGAAAAGTATTATCTATGTACTCAAAAGTGTATAACCCAATATGTCAAAAGTTAATGTTTTTGGTAAAGAGTGTAGGAGACCTTGTGAGGTTGGAAATCCTACTGGCCTCTAAATAAGATATTTAGAAAGTTGTTTTTTTGGATGTTAAAGTTCCATACTGATTGTATTGAAGAAGCTCCATAGATTTTGTAAATTTAAACATCTGGATATGAACTTGTCTAATTGAACAACTTAAAGATATTGGAGCCTGAGGCACTGAGCACAGTGCCTGGCATACAGTCAGTGCTTAATAAATGTTTGTTGACTAGGTGCCCTCCCTACCAGATGGGAAGATGGCTATGCTATGTCAGCTTATTAAGAGGTTATTTGATTCTAAATTTATTCAAATCTTCTAACAATTTTTTCTTTTGCTTTAATAAGTAGGCAGGGCCACCTTTGAGAACAACGAAACATGAGCATGGATTGAAAACAGTGCATGTCACAAGAACTTAGAATACGAAGAATGGAGACAAAATGTGGAAGAGGTTGTCTAGACAGTAGGCATTGCCAATGTCAGAGTTAGTGATTTGTCCCCTAGAAATCAGGACCCTACAGCTGTAGCATATTCATTTTAATTCTCTCATGATAATTTTCTTGATAAAATCTCCTATCATTGTGAAAGAAGCTATTATTTTGCTATTATATTAACAACCAATTATTAAATTAGGATTATTTCCTCATTCAGGGACCAGTCTCTGAAGGACTTGGCTGATAGACGAGATTGCCCTAATCCTGGAGAACAAGCTTCTCCTCATTCTTGGGTTGGACCCACCCAACTAGGAGACCTTACTTCTGCTTAAAGTGTAAACAGAATCTAATCTAAATGAATTCTTGCCCCAGGGCAATGGGCCTATGTCCTTGCCCTCCTCTACTGGAGTTTAGGGTGACCCAGCTCAAGAACACTAATCAGAGTGGTCTGGGTGGAGATGAATTACTCCGTCCAGATGGCAAGAGTCTCGAGATCAAGCCAAGCTTTCAGCAGGAAGAGCTGAAGACTTCTAGCCCACCTCCTCATTTAAATGTCCACTAATCAGGGTTGGTATCTCCTGGCTGAGTCATTTCCTTTTCAAAAAAATATTTAAAGGGGCAGCTAGGTGGCGCAGTAGGTAGAGCACCGGCCTTGGAGTCAGGAAGATCTGAGTTCAAATCTGGCCTCAGACACAACACTCATTACCTGTGTAAGCCACTTAACCCCGATTGCCTCACCATAAATAAATAAATAAACAAACAAACAAACAAACAAATAAATAAATAATTAAAATGAATGAATACATACATAAACAAACAAATAAATAAATAAATGGGGGGGAAATATACATATATATTTAAGGCATTCAGTGTCTCCATTAGGTGTCTTTGGTTACTGAAAAAAACCACTGACCATCAATTTATTGATTATTAGCTAGTCCTATTAATAAATTATTAATTACCCAGAAACTCTGTCTCTTGGGTTTTTCAGCTGTCACAGTTGTTTTTATACTTACAATTTTTAATTTAATAATTGGTGTTTGGTTTGGAATGTGTTATAAGAGGGATGTAGTATGTCATATATGAATGAGATGAGGGATTAGAAAGACCCAGAAAGAACTAGAAGCTTTTAGAAAGGCCTTTTATAAGCTTACTGGGTACAAAAGATGAATACTTTTCCATGACAGTCATGTATTACCTTACACCTAGAAACCAATCCCAAGACTTGCTAGAATCAAAGTTAGCTTTAAAATAATTATATTTTGTTCTATTTGTAAGCACTGGAATTTTCTGGATCAGATAGAATCCTTGGGGACATAAATCTGGCTTATCTATTGCCCAAATTCGCACCTTGATCCTGGCAAAGGGTTTATGCTAACAAATCAGCAGTTTACTATGCAAGGCAAAAATGGTGGATGGCCATCTACTGGGAGTGCTAAAAATGCATTCAACCATTTTCAGATGGATGTTGATCCCTGGGAAGGCCAGGGAGACATCAAGGTGAAGTTATTATGTATAAATTGGTTATTTTTAAAACTCTCTTTACATAATCACAAGTTGGCTATTTCAAAAACCCATGATCAAACCTAATTGAGGGAGTCTTGTCCCACTATATCCATAAGAGGTAAGGCTATAACTTTTAGACAGAGGCCTGGCTGAATCTTTAAATGTTACCACAATGTCTTTCTTTCCTCTTTTATGGAAAATTCCTCTGACCATTACAGGAGATGGCCAAATGCGTGGTATGTTTCAATGTCACTAGGAATCCTTGAATTCATAGTGATTGGGATAGAGAGATAGGGAAATCTTTCTTAAAAGAATTAGCCTTTTCCTACTTGTTGCATGTACAAAACTGTCAGTGATCCTTTAAGATTCTAATGGTTGTGTGGAGTATAGTGCCCATTAAGGGAAAAGAGTAGGTGAACTTTAGTCCATGAACAGGTTCAAAGAGTTTCAAGGCTCTCTCTCTCTCCCTCCCTCTCTTTCTCTCTCTCTCTCTCTCTCTCTCTCTCTCTCTCTCTCTCTCTCTCTCTCTCTCTCTCTCTCTCTCTGTTTCCAGGCCCTCTTCCACACCATCCTTCCTTCAGAGCCTGGAGATGGCCTCAGTCAACCCTACTGTAACTTGCTTATAATTTGGATAAAGTATCTCTGACAGACTTCATCCAAAATGCAGAGTGAAACATGTTTCTTCTACAGCACCATTGGCAAGCAGCCATCTGCAAACCTGCCTTGAGATCATGGGCAGACAGCAAAGCCCACAGCTGGGGAAGAGGTAGGAAATCAGACATCAGTTCTAAGCTTCAAATGTTTCTTTCCATTTCTGGTTTCGCACCCCACCCCTAGTGCCCTAAAGTGAATAGTGGTAGATGGGCCGATTGGTCAAAAACATGGCTGGAAGAGGCAGATACTAGGTATGGCCTAGGGTTAGGGTCAGATTGTCCAGAAAACACTTATTTCTCAGCTGGACACCCAGAACAGCGACTTTCTCTGTAGTGTAGAGTGGTGACTCCTCAATCCTGAACTCATTCAAGGTACCTGATCTCCAAAGTCTGAGGCAGCTCCCAGAGCTTCACTAAGGGGATGCCACCATTAGAAAGGTAGTGAAAAAGAAGATAAGGTGGAGAGAAAAAAATTACATAGGAGAGAAGGGAGACCCCAAGGGACAGAAGAGGGGCAGGAGACCTCCTCAGAAAGAAAATCTCCTCCCCACCAACTGCTCAGAGAGGAAAAGAAATAAATCTAGTCTCTGCCCCCTGGCCTAAAGGAAAATCTGAAGCACAGAAAGGGGAAACAAAGGCACAGAAAGGGAAACCTAGTGAGAAACAAAGGTAAGGTAGAATAAATGGCCCAGGGAGTATTGCTCTACAGGTCACCAGGGCAGGTGGAGTGGAGGGAATAGAAAACCCAAAGTAAGTTCCTACTTACAATGCTAATAGGGCATTCTATGCCCTTTCCATAGCAAGGATAATTATTAATTTGTTTACTATACTAAAAGGTAAAAACCAGGGGGCCAAGTAAAGGGCATACACATGTGGCAGCAGGGGAGATGGGAAGAATCCTGGGTAGGCCTGGGTTTTCCTCTGGGTGGCTGGACGGGAAATGGAGCATGCTACTTGGCTCAGCCCCAGACTTCCAAAGCTGAATGGACTGAATCCTTCAGGAAGAAGGAGCCTGATGTCTACAAGTCAGGTCTAGAGGGAGACTGTTTTACCTGACGCCCAGGTAAGCCCAGGGTTTCCTGGTGAGTAGCCAGATGGGATGTGAGGCATGGGCTGGAATTTGCAGGTTAGGTAAGGTACATGCACTTACATGATACTAAGCAGGGACTAGAATACAAGTAAACTAGGGGGCAGAAGCCTAAGGAACCTCAAAGGCCAAACCTGTGCTCTGGGATGAGTCAGACAGCAGCCCCTTCCCAGGGCTCACAATCTCCTGCACTTCTCCCCCAACCCATGTTGTCCCATGTCCATCCCAGCCTGCTGATACTTACACATCCAGAGATAATAGAGGCGTTTCGTCATGTTGAGGTGTTGAGGGGGAATCTCCGCCTCGAAGTCCTGATAGAAACATGGCTTCAGTGGGATGAACTTGGGCAGGGGAGGGAAATTGTTCACTTTCTCTGCAGCAGAAACATAAATCAAACCAAAGTCATGATCAGATGAGATGGTATATGTAAAGCACTTTGCAATATTAAAGCACAATATAAATGCTAGCTATCATTATTACTATAATAACAGTAGTGATAGCATATATAGAGTACCTACTATGTGCCAGGCATTATACCAAGCATTTACAATATTATTTCATTTAATCCTCACAACAACTCTGAGAGGTAGTTACTATTATTACCCCCATTTTACAGATGAGGAACTGAGGTAAACAGAGGTTTGGTGACTTGCCCAAGATCATAGGGCTAGTGTCTGAGACTTGATTCCCAGTCTGAGACTTTGACTCCAGGCCAAACTATATCCGCTACACCACTTAACTGCATATTATGGACCAATTCAATTCGACAGGCATTTATTATGCTCTGTACTAGGCTCCTGGGAATACAAAAAACAAAATGATAAGAGTCCATGCTCTCAAGGAGCTCACGTTCTGGGGAAGGGGTGATACATAGGAAATAAATGCAAGTAACTGGAGGAAAGAGAAAGTATTCTTCCCTAGGGGCATCAGGAAAGATTTATTCATTCATTTGTTTATTTGCCCATGTATTTATTCTTCAACAAGACTATAGCATTTTGTCTTACTGAATGTTTATCATCTTCAGTGGGCAGCTAGGTGGCACAGTGGACAAAGTGCTGGGTCTGGAATCAGGAAGAAAGACTCATCTTCCTGAGTCTGAATCTGGCTTCAGATTCTTACTAGCTGTGTGACCCTGGGAAAGTCACTTAACCCTGTTTGCCTGAGTTTCCTCATCTGTAAAATGAGCTGGAGAATGAAATGGCAAACCACTCCAGTGTCTGCCAACAAAACCCCAAATGGGTCATGAAGAGTCACACACTACTGACATAACTGGACAACAACATCTTCAGTACCAGCTAACATTTTTTTATCCTCTTCCTCCCCACCTCTACTTGAAGGAAGTTAAGGATTCTGAGAGGAAAATAAATAAGAATACTACTAATAATAATAACTAACATGTATGTGGTATACTTTATATGCAGTCGCAGCTGAGTCTCACAACAACACTGTGAAATAGCATAGGGATTGTTATTCCCATTTTAAGGATGAGGAAACTGAGGCTAACATATGTGTCCATGATAACATGGCTAGTGAGTGTTAGAGATGGGATTTGGATACCCCAATCATCTTTCCAATAGCCCACATAAAGTCTTGAGGGAATAAGCAGCAGAAAGTGAGAGGAATACAGCTGACCCCTTCTCTAGCCAGAGTTGCCCTCAACTCAACCACTCTCCCTACAGCCCAGCCCATTGTGGCATGAGGACCTTAGTATTTACATTGAGTCAGGATGGCAAGACCTCTACAGTAGGGCAGGAATATTAATGCTGGGAGGGTGCCCACTCTTTCCCCACAAAGGAAATGATCCAAGATCAGGGTTCAGAGTTGGCCAGACCAGTCTGGTAGCAGCCAAATCAAGTGACGTGGACTGTTGGGCATCATAGACACTTATATTTAATGAGGAATTCCTTGTTCTTCTCAGTCTTAGAAGAAGGAACAATGAAATGAAGTCATAGGGAGGCAGATACAGGCTCAGTAGAACTGAAAACTTCCTAACAATTACAGCTATTCAGAAGCGAAAAGGACTTTGTAGGCAGTGAGTTTCCTGTCCCTAGAGGCCTTCAGGTGGGGGACTAGAACTTATATTCTATAGAGGGCATCCCTGCTGAAGGAAGAGTTGGACCAAGAGGATGTATCTTCCAACTCGGAGAGTTTTAAAATCTATACTGTCCTTAACCCCACCCCTTCTCCTGCATTGGAGAGATCTGAGTCAAAGGTCCACAGGGATAATGATGGGGTCTTGACCTGTAATTCATTAAGGAGCATGAGGGTGAGACAGTCACTCTACCAGTGCTGGTTGGCACCTCCTCAGCATAAATTAGTCTTAGACAGTTGCCAAGGGCTTTCAAAGGTTGACCAGTAAGGGTCAGAGGCAGGATTTGAATCCAGCTCTTCCTGGTTCCCAGGCCAGCTCTGTACTCACTATGCTCTGCGGTCTTTAGTCCAGGATGTTGGGGACTCAGAACAAGTAAGAGAGTAAATAAAGCATTCACCACACTGCTAGGCAGTCTAAACAGATAAGACTAAAGGGTACATTTTTCTTTTCATTTTTGAAAGAAAATTAATTTTTATTTATTATTTCATTTATAAATTTATTTTTTTAACATTTGTTTTTAATTTTGAATTCCAAATTCTTTCCCTCCATCCAGCCCCTCCCCCACCCATTGAGAAGAAGTCATGCAATATGATACTCATTATACATGTGATATCATGCAAAACATATTTCCACATTAACCACGTTGCAAAAAAAAAAAGGAAGAAAAATAAAGCTAAAAAAGTATACTTTAGTCTGCACTCAGAGTTCATCAGTTCTCTCTGGAGGTGGATAGCATTTTTTTTTTATCATAGTTGCTTTGGAATTGTTTTGACCAGAGCAGCTAAGTCTTTCACAGTTGATCACTGTTACAATATTGCTGTTGTAGTGTACAATGTTCTTCTGTTTCTGCTCACTTCACTTTGCATGAATTCATGTCTTCCCAAGGTTTTCTGAAATCATCTTGCTTGTCATTTCTTATAGCACAACAATATTTCATCACAATCATATACTACAATTTGTTTGGCCATTCCCCAACTGATAGGCATCCCTTCAATTTCCAATTCTTTGACACCACAAACAAAGAGTTGCTATACATTACATATATATACATATACATATACATAGGGGAAAGGACATTGTGTGTGTGTGTCTGTGTGTGTGTGTGTCTTGTATCCTTTTCCTTTTTCTTTTATCTCTTTGAGAGGATACAGACCTACTAGTGGTATTGCTAGGGATTCACAGTTTTGTAGCCCTTTGGGTGTAGTTCCAAATTGTTCTCCAGAATGGCTGGACTAGGTCACAACTCCACCAACTGTACTGCATTAGCGTACTTATTGCTCTACCTCTCTTCCAGTATTTGACATTTTTCTTTGCTGTCCTGTTAGCCAATCTGATAAGTGTGAGGTGGTACTTCAGAGTTGTTTTAATTTGCATTTTTCTAATTAATAGTGATTTAGAGCATTTTTTCATGACTATTGAGAGCTTTGATTTCCTCTGAAAATTGCCTGTTCATATCCTTTGGCCATTTATCAATTGGGGAATGGCTCTTATTTTTATATATTTGATTCAGTTCTCTATATATTTGAGAAATTAGGCCTTTATCAAAGAAATTTGCTGCATAATTTTCCCACCACTTTCCTGCTTTTCTTCTAATTTTGACTGTATTAGTTCTGGATTCAGATCCCTGCTCTGTTCCTTATTACCCATGCCCAATAATGACTTTTTGGGAAAGTCATTTAACCTGAATTTCCTCCTCTAGAAAATGAACAGTTTGGCTGAAGCAATTACTAACGGCCCTCTGAGCTCTAAGATCTCATAAATTTTTCAGGGATGTGGATTTCAACTCAGTGTAAAAAAGCATTTCCTGAAAATCAGCATGGCCCAACAATGGAACGGGCTTGCCCATCACTGGAAGTGTTAGAGCAGCCCCAGTCAGAGCAGTTGAACAAGAAATTATTGTATTAGGTGAGATATTTAAAGTCCCTTCCAGAGCTAAGATTCTGATTCTATGCTGAGTCAGGACTCAGTTGGGGGGACACAGGCCAATCTACCCACTACTTTCATTCTGCTGCCCAAACATCATCCCTTTTCTATCCTTGGCATCCCTCCTTACCTGCCATTGTGACACCAGCCCTTGACACCCAGGTGCAGCCAAGCACCTATCCACGTTTTCTCTGTCCTGAGCTGAAAGAGAAAACAGAGGCAAGCCAGGATCAGAGCATGGTGTGACACTATTCCTTTGTCCCCTTTCTACTCTCCTTCTGGGAAATACTACCTGTAGCTGAGGCCAGCTAGCCAGAACCCTAGACTCCCTCTCTGAGCACTCTTGGAGGAAGAGTATCTAGGGGAAAACCAGTGAGAAGATCTTGACTCCAACATTAATGTCCCCAACCCTCATGGGAGGGAAGATAGGACTACAGGCAAAGGACCTACAGATTAGCGATCCACACACTCAGATCAGAGCGGGGCTAGATCCCATAAGTCTCATTCAACAAGTCTTGCCCAATTTTCCCACTCCATCTCCCCACAGAAACATATACAACTTCATATTCCACCAACCTGACAATTCCAAGTACCCAACCCCTTCCATCCAGTGCTCTCTCTGTCCTCCAAGAATATTGGACTTTAAAAGCCAGAAGATCTGAGTTCAAATCCTAATTTTAACACTACCTGTGTGACTCTGTATATGTTCCTTTCTCTCTCTAGGTCTCAGCTTCCTCACTTTTAAAAAAGACTTTGTAATAGCCACGTAGAAAAAAGAAAGAAAATTATGCTTCAATCTGCACTCAGAGTCCATCAGTTCTCTCTCTGGAGGAAGACAGCATTTTTCCTCATGGGTCCTTTGGAATTCTCTTGGATCACTGTATTGATTAGGTTGCTAAGCCTTTCCCCAGCTGATCATTGTTACAATACTGCTATTACTGTACACAATGTTTACTTTTTAATGAGGTTAGACTAGATAATTCCTGAAGTCTCTTCCAGCTCTAAGTTCTATGATCCTATAATTCCATTGGCCAAGACCCCATGTTATCAAAAGGAAGGGTGGGGCAGTCCCATACAGAAAGGACACACTTGTGGCCAAGGTCACAAGTTTGGTTCCTCTCTAATAGGAAAACTCTATTCTCCCCATGATAGACCACTTAAACTTCAGACTTGGCCCTAATCCCAAGCACACACTGACCCTCTAAGACTGACCCCTAGAATTGGTCACAGGATGGGTACCAAATCCTGGCTACTGATGGCCTCTAATCTTGGGCATACACTGACCCTTACATCTAGCCAAAGAATGACTACAGACTGGTATCCTAACCTTGGTCACAGATTGATCCCAGGTCCAACCACAGACTGACCTCTAACACTGGCCAGAATGACCTCTTGATCTCAGCTATACTTTCTCCTAAATCTGGCCACCAACTGACCTCTTACAGACTGACCTTATAAACCTGTTCATGGGCAAAAGTCTACCATCAAAAACTGATTCCTAACCCTAGTCTCAGACCAATTTAACAGCTAAGAAGTATCTTCCACTAATCACAAGAAGAAAGGATTAAGGAATGTTAACAATGACTCAACAAAACCCATCTCCACCCCTGGATATATAACTAAAAAAAAAATTATCTTTGTGTATTAAGAACAGCACACAGAAAAATATGACTCAGTAAAGACACAAGAGTGGAAGAAAGATAAATGGATGGATGGATGGATAGATAGATAACATTTATTTAGTACTTATTGTGTATTAGACACTGTGCTAAGTGCTGGGAATACAAACAGAAAAACAAAAACAAAAACAAAAAACAAGGCAGTCTCTATCCTCAAGAAAAGGAAGGGAGAGGAAGGGCATCAATCAGGAGAGGAGGGCCCCAGAACAGAGGTTTCTCAGGGCAATGTTTTCTTGGGGTAGTCATGCAGTAGGAAAGATATCTAGGTAAAAGTGAGGTGAAGCAATTCTAAAATGGTAGTCCTGGCAGGGATGTCACCAATCAGGAAAGGAAGACCTTAGAGAGGAGGTCTCTGGGAATGCAGCACAGGTGAGGAGAAGGAAAAGGACTCCAGAGGGAGCCTAGGTATGGGTAACACAGGAAAGCAGGATCTATTCCCAATGTACTGTGTTACTTGGTCTGGCTGGGTTTCAATCTTTTCATCTACAAAATAGGGGGCAAAAGGAAGGACTTAAGGAAGGGGAAATAGCAATCCACTCTTTCCCGAGAATGAATGACCATCTTTTAAGGACATTATATGGCCTTGTTAATTATTAACAATAAATCTAATTCTCCCTTGGTTTTGAGCATAGATTTAGGGCTGAAAGGAATTTGAGATGCCAGCTAGTCTAACTCATTTTGCAGATAAGGAAATCGAGACCCAGAAAGGGGAAATGATTTCCCTAAGATAACTAAATCAGTAAATCACAGGGCCAGAATTTGACAGATTCATCACCTCTAAGTCCAAAAAAACTTTCCATTATTTCTCACTGCCTCAAAATAAAAATCCAAAGTCCTATGGAGACCTCAGAAGTCATCTCATCCAACTCTCTGATGTTACAGATGAAGAAACTGGGACCCAGAGATATTATATGATTTACCTAGTCATCTGGGTACTTTTTAAAGCAGGAGAATTTGAACCAGAATTTGAACCCAAGTCCTCTGACTCCAAATCCTCCATTCTTTCCACTACGCCATACCAGAGAATTTGAAAGCTGGAAGGCATCTCAGTGGTCATCAAATCCAACCCATGCTTCAAGAAGTTAGAAGCCAAGTTGTCCAAACTAACCTATTTTCTGACCCATCAACAAAACATTTCATCTCGCATGTCTCCATGCCTTTGTTCAGACAAGGCTGTTGTCCATACTTGGTATGACCTCAGTCCTCAACTCCATCTCTTGGAATTTCCATCTTCCTTCAAAACTCAGCTGCCACCTCCTACATGAGGCCTTCTTGATCTTCTACCCCATCTCCCAGCTGTCAGTGCCTTCCACTGGGAGGAGGGAAATGATTCTGAATTTATTTTGTACTTATTTATCTTTCTACATGTTGTTTCCTACTCTCTAGCCCCAACAGAACGTAAACCCTTTGAGGGCAGGGGCTGTTTTGGTTTTTGTCTTTGAATCCCCAACACCTAGCAGAGTTCTTACCACATAGGAGATGTTTAATAAATACTTATTGAATTAAAGAAACTTACTCTCCTATCATCCACTCATGTGCTACAAAACTGGGAGGCAGGATGCCATATTGGTCCATTTTACAGATAGGGTGACTAAGATGTTGAACAAAGAGAAAGACGTTTCTACCGACCACACAGCATTCCAGGGATAAACAGGATACTAAAATTCAGGGCTCTTTTTCACTTTCTCCCCATGAGTTAGTAAAACTAGAAAGTACTGCAATTCAGAGAAATCTAACCCCCACCCTCTACTGTTTCCCAGTTCACAGGGTAAGCACTCCCTTCATCTGTCTCTGACAGAACACTCTCTTTCTCAGTATCCCTACTTTCTTGGGGAAATCCTGGTCTTTCTCAGATCTGCTCACTTTGTAGTTTGATCATCTTCCATTTTGCCCAGGGGTCACGTTCGTTACATCTCCCCTTCTCCCTTCACCTTTATTGCCCAAACCAGATCCTTGAAGTCTATTAATATTCTTCCCAAAACATAGCTTCTATGGTATCATAGAACTACTCAAGAACTCACAGTAATTCCCTATTGCCTATCAGATCCAAGAATTAACTTTTCTACCTGGCATTCAAGGGTTTCCATCAACAAACATCATTTCTTTGGTAGCAAAGACTATCTTGCCTTTCTACTTGAATTCTCAGCACAGTGCATTGTACATAAAGTGCTTAATGAATGTTATTGCTATCATTTTTTTCATTGTCTTCATCACCAATTTCATCTCTTGTTACTTCCAGAAATGACCCTTCTTGTCCTAGTCAGACCATCCTACTCACTATTCTTAACATGATTTCCCTGTGCCTCTGATCATGTCACACTGTTCACTGATTTAATAAACATTTACTAAACACCTACTCTGTACAGAGACAAAAATAAATCAGATATAGTACTTGCTTTGCTCACCATAACTGGCATGCCCTTCCCAACCTCCTTCTCTCTGACTGTATAAGTCTCATCAATACTTCAAGAATCACCTCAAATTCCACCCTACTACCCTCCTTTAGGAAGCCTGTCCAGAGCACCCTGGCACACACTGACTAATTTCCTCTTATCTAAACACTCATTTGCTACTTATAGAATCATAAATTTTCAAGTTGGAAAGAAAACTTAGAGATCTTCTATTCCAATGCCCTCAGCCCATCTTGCACTATGGATTCTCTTCCATGGTCTTACCTCCCTAACAATTCTCCCTGAAGACAAGGACCCTGGCTTATACTACTTCATATTCCTAGTACCTACCACAGAGTCAGGTGCTCTGTAAATGTTTATTGCTGATGACAATAACAATGACCCCTCTCCCACCCACCTGCATTGATAATACCTTTTCTGTTCCTCTCAACAAATCACTAACCCATGAAAACTATAGTTTTCAAAACTTGGCTTAAAGACATCTCCCCCAGGATGTCTTCTCTGATTAATTCTACCCCTAAACTGTCCCCCTCCCAACCTACTATAAAATTTTATATATCTCATTTGTATGGGCAAACCCAGATAATCCATTCCCATCTACACTTTCCCTGAGATACTAGGAGAGGAAAATAACAGAAGGGCTATTATTATCTTTCCCCAGCAGAAGAAAAGAAACATACAGACACATATAACTTAAATTTGTACAGATTTTTATAAATTCAAAGGATTTACATGTCAAGGGTTGATCAGAGGGTTCCCTGATCAACTTGAAGAACATACACTGTAAGGAATCTTCATCTAGAATTTGGATTCTTCTTGTTGAGGGTGAATTGATTGACAGTTGTGGGTCAGAGCCACCCCCCTAGGTCGATCCCCTACAGAAGAGGGTCAGTTGAAGGGTCATGCTCTTTTGACACCCCCACACACACCTTTTCTGAGCACTAATCTAATTGGCTATCTCCCCTTTGGCCCCAAAGGTTGCAGTTTCTTGGCCTGAGAGGTAGCAGCAGCTAGGCAATGGTGGAGAAGTGAGTTTCTGGATCTTAAGTTGCTGTAGCTAGCCCTGGAAAAGCAGTGGTAGAAGAACATGGAAGCTGCATATGTTCTCAGTTATGTGGTCCCAGAAGAGTGGAACTACATGGCCAAGTGATGGGAGTTCTGGAATCCAGCCTTCTAGAAAGAAAAGCATCTTGCTGGGCTGGAGGGGGAGGGGGGAGGAGAAAGATCACACATATATCCTCCTCAGCTGGAGGTACAATAAGAGTCTAAGGCCATGACATGGGGATCAAAAGGCCTGGTCCTCCAATATTACCCTAAGTAATTCAGATGTTGTTGTTGAGTCATATTTCAATCATATCTGACTCTTCATGACCCCATTTGGGGTTTTCTTGGCAGAGATACTGGAGTAGTTTGCCATTTCCTTCTCCAGCTAATTTTACAGATGAACTGAGGCAAATAAGGTTAAGTGACTTTCTCTGGGTCGTACTATTAGTAAGTGTCTGAGGCCAGGTTTGAACTCAAGAAGATGAGTCTTCCTGACTCCAGGCCCAGTGCTCTGTGCACTATGGTGCCACCTAGCAGCCCCCAAGTTATTCAGATGGTTAAAGTTAAATAGGAAGAGTTACCTCTGCAATGGACTTCAAGTTTAGTGAGTAATACGGCTTCCAAAAAAGCTAGTGCAATCTTAGGTCAGAGGTCAGAAGTCAGAAAAAAGAGAAGTCATGGTCCTGCTATACACTGATTTGGAAAGAACCTTAGAATTCATCTCACCCAACCTGTATCTGAACAGGAATCCCCTTCCTAACCAAACTCAGTAAGTGACCCTCAAATCCTTTCTTAAGAGTGCTTCTTGACCTGACTATCCTGAGGAAAAACACTTTCTTACACAGTTCTAATCACCAGGAAAGGTTTTCCTATATGTCAATCTTACCCTCTGGAACTTCCCTTCCCCAGTCAAACTACATTTGGAGTATTGCATTCAGTTCTGGGTTTCACATTTTAGAAAGGACATTGACAAGCTAAAACATGTAACCAGAACTGTGAATGGACTTGAAAACATGTCACATGAGAATGGAGTGAAAGAGCTGGGAGATATTTGGCCTGAAGAAAAACTAGAGCAGAGGGATAGAATAGGGAGAGTTATGATTTCTGTCTACAAGTCTTGTTACACTTGGCTCTAGAGAACAGAACTAGGGTCAACATGAGGCAGATTTCAGGTCAATGTAAGTAAGAATTTCCTAACAATCAATGATCTTAATGTGGAATGAGCTGCTAAACATGGAAGTCACTTCCCCATCACTTGAGGTCTTCAATCAGAGTGTGAATGTTCACTTGTTGAGGCTGGCATAGGCAGGATTTCTGCTCAGGTATGTGTTGAGCTGGACGGCCTCTGAGGTCCCTTGCAACTCTGAGACTCTGATTCTATGTGGCTCCTGACACTGTTGCTTCACAGAGAGCTGAGAAAATGCCTTCTGGGACATGATCATGGGGAAATGGAGCTGTGGTGCAGAGGAAAGAGCCCTGCCCTGGGAATTAGGAGACCTGGATTCTCTTTCTAGCTGTGCTATTTACTAAGTCTATGACCTTGGGAAAATGCCTTCCCCTCACTGGGCTTTAGTTTCCTCCTCTGTGAAATCAGGGTCTCTGAAGGTCTTTCTGAGCTCTGACTCCTTAAGTAGAGGAAACGGTACTGAGGGGTAAGGAAGATGAGTTTCCCAAGGGAATTACAGAGAACAAAACCATATACAACAATAGTCTCTACAGCAGCTCTCTCCAAAGAGGTCAAAATACTTTATATCCATTATCTTGTCCATTCCCCACATTCCCATGAAATAGTGATGGGGGCTGCAATTGTCTAGGGTAAGTTTGGGTACCAGAGAACGGAAACAATTTGTTCAGGATCCTCCAGTAAAACAAAACAAAACAAAATAAAACCCAGAGTCCTGAGCCCAATGTCTGAAGGTTCAGGGTTTGCTAGGCATGTGCTCCTCCTTTTTATAGCCAAATCTCAAAGAATGCCCAGCCTTCCATAGGTATGCCTGAGTGTTCCTATCCAATTCACCCCACACCCCAGCCCAGGAGTTACTCCTCTTCTCCCCCACCCCCAAACACTCACTTAAAGCACAGATACCATATACCTAATTCTATAGCACTTAGCTTGGGACTTAAGACCCTGATCACCCCAGCCCACAGGGATCTTCCTTCTGACCTCCAATATCACTTTGATCACTGGTTACCTTCTCATTTGTGTGTCCTGTCATCCCAACTAGACTGAGCTCCCTAAGGGGTCAGAGTATTTAGAATTGGAAGGGACCTTACGGTTCCATCTAGCCCAACCCCCTCATTTTACAGATAATGAAACTGGGGCTCCAAGAGATTAAGTCACTTGCCCAAGGTCACACAGGTAATAGCAAACCGATCCAGGATTCACGCCCAGGTCCTCAGATTCCAGGCCCAGTACTCTTCCCACTGTACTATATACAGCAGACACTATACCTCCTACTTCCCGTTCCTCCTTCCCCAGTGCAATCTAACCCAGGGCTGGGCACACAGTAGTCACTTTGTAAATATTTGTGGAAAGGCTGAATCATGGTACTGACAAGAGAGATGCCCTCTGGTCCTCACAGGAGAGATCAGAGCTTCACCACAATTAAGCCTCCACTTGGTGAGGTCCCAAGCTGGGTACTCACAGGACAGCTTTGACCATATTTGCTTCTTTTCCCACAATCTATCACTTTGAGGCTCTGCGTTGTTTTTTTTAATAATGAATTCATTTTTTTTTAAACTTTGCCAGATTCTGTGACCATGCCCAAAACTGGCCTTTTCCTGGATGGAAGAGCAAGAGGGCCTTAACGAGAGGCCTTACTAGGATTTCCCTTCCCCCACACAGCCCCATGGCAGGGAAGAAGGTATTAGAAACAGGAAATATCAGAACTGGAAAGGACGAGAAGGTGGTTTCTAAGGAAAAGGAGTTGGAAACCCAGGCAATGGCATCAGGTCCATGAAGCCTTACGTCAATGGAGGGGGGAAGGGGACGCAGTGCTAAGAGAGGAAGATGAAGGAAGGATGGGGGAAGAGGGGATTGCACTGGGGCCTTGGGTGGCGCCTTAACCTGCGAGCTCCCCGCTGCTTCCCCACCTGCTGCAGAAACCGCACCTCTACCCAGTCCAGGGGACACCCCCTCACCCCGAGCCTGTACAGAACGAAGGTCACCTGGGCTCTCCTCGACACACTCTGCAGGTGAAGGGGAAAAGGGGCGCAAAGCGAAGGTAAGCAGAATGGAGGTTCAGCCCACCCAGCCCGTTAACCAGTGTCCCCAGCCCAACGCCCCCACCCCGCCCCCGCGCCCTGTCCTCCGCAGCAAAGCCTGAAGCTCCAAGACCCGGAGCCTGTAATCCCAGATCTCTGGGGCTATGTATAGCGGCAGCTTGTCTGGGCCTCCAGCTTCCAACCCTACTGCACCCCCGACCCCCCCCCCGACCCCAGTCCCACAACTCACCCTCCCGAGGGCTGCTCCACTGCCAAAGAAGCGGGGATAGGGGTGGGGGGAAAGGGGGAGGGAGAAAAATCTGCGAGCAACCACGCAATGCAATGCAATGCAAGGCAAGGCACGGACGATGCACTCCGAATGGTGCAGCCCCTCCGCTCTAGGCTTCGGGGCTGGGAGGGGGCAAGCGCGCGCGCGCTCGCGAGCCGGCTCCTCCTCGCGCTCCCGCTCCCGCTCCCGCAGCAGCGCTTCTGCTGCCACCGCCTCCTCCTGCAGCAGAGCCTCTCGCGAGATTCACCCCCCCTTCCCCCACCCCCGCCCCAATCCGATCCAACTCCAGCGCCGCTCGGGTTGTCGCGAGAGAGGACCCAACAGGCTGCCTGAGCTCCCACAACGCTGTCCGAGGTGCTGCGACCGGGGAAGGGCTTGCAGGGCGCAGGTGGGCCAGCAGGGGGCGACGCGGGGGCGGAGTCGGGATGCAGGGCTGAGCAGGGATGCTGGAGGAAAGGAAGGAGTGAGGGAGAGGGCAATGACGAGGAATCGAGTGGGAGGAGAACAGACAGGAAAAAGGGAAAGATTGGGAGGGAGGGACAGGGACTGTGACACATGCACAGACAAATCAGTCAAGAAAGAGACACAGAGAAGAGAGGGAGGGAGAGAGAGAGACAGAGATGGAGGGAAGGAAAAGAAAGAGAGGGAGGGAGGGAGAGAAAGAGAGAGGGGAAGGAAGAGAGAGAGAGAAGTAAGGGCACTTCTCTGGGCCTCCATTTCCCCATCTGTAAAATAAGGAAGATGGACGAGATGATCTCTAAACTTCTTTCCAGCTCTGACATTCTTTAGCAACAATGAGAAACAGACTGGTCCAGGGGGACAGATGCAAAGAGCTGGGTGAGAGAGGGGGCAGAAACAGTGACAGAAAAGCAGACGGGGAAACATGGAAAGGCAGAGCCACATAGAAACACTGGGTGGGGATAGTGAGACCGACTGAAAAACAGAGGCAAGGACAGAGAGAGGAGAAAAGACACGGAAAGACAGAGAGCAAGGGTTGATAGACACACAGAGACACATAGAGAAAGCCTGTGTAGCAGGCGCATGGCTGGTTTGTGAGGGTTTTTTTATTTTAAATGGTATTTACATAGTATACAAATGGTCAGATTTCGATCACCAGGATAAGTCACCCTGTTGCTCCTTACATGCCCACTCTCAACCCCTCTTTCAGCCCACCCACACAGTTCTGGGTCCTAAAAGGAAATTTTCTGGGAGAGGGAGACACTGAAAGGATTCTTTCCCAGGAATAAGGGCTAATTGTCTGGCTGAGGCCCTACCCAGATGGACATTGATGCTTCACCCTCACAGCTGCTTCAAAATGGAGCAGTAGCTAGAAGGAGCTCTTGGGAAGATTAGGGTGATACGGAGGGATAGAATCAGCACAAGAAGAAAGTGGGGGAGTCTGACTTCTGGGTCTTTATATTGTGCTAAGGTTTGCCAGACATCCTGGAGAATGGCTGAGGATCAATAGACCCCAGTTTCAATTCTGACTTGGATACTAACTTTATGTATGCTCTTAAGCAAGTCATTTCCCAAATGTGGGCCTCCATTTCTCCATGCATTGAATGAAGTTCAGAATTGCTAGGTTTTTTATTGTTATTTTTTTTGTCCAAACCTGTAATTTCATCCATCAGTATGGGAAGCCCAGTGCAGAAGTAACTGTTACCTTATAAGTTTAGTGGCCTGATGTGCGGAGAAGTTCAATGATTTGCATGTGGCAATACATTAGAGTCAGGACTTGAACCAGATCTTCATGACACTCAGACTAGCATAACCACTATGCTACCTCTCTGGTTGGGAAAATCAAATGAGATAATGAACCTGACCATGTTTTAAAAAGCATAATAAAATCCTGGCTACATATAAGGAACATTAGAGAGAAAGCCTAGGGGCAGAGATTTTCAAGACTGTCTCTCCCTACCTCTAAGAATCAGCAGGGACTCCCCACCACAGGCAAGCAGCAGAATCGTGTACTTGCCCAGATCCTCTTCTACCAGCATCAGATGCCAGCAATCTTTGTCTTTGCATGGGGAGGTAGGTGGGCAGAGCTGTGTGTTAACTCATTCTCAGGTTTTCAGAACTAGGACTTTTTAGTAGAACTTTTTAGTAAAGCCCTTATTACATCAACCAGAAGACTGGAAAATAACAAGTAATAGGAATACAAGAAGGATCTGTGATTCAGCATGGTGAAGGAGAGGGCTCCTAGTGTGGGAAAAGTCCCCACCAAGCATATCATATAATTTAGTGGCTATGTCTAAGGTAGGGGAGTTGCTAAGTCACTGAGAGGTTATGACTTGCCCAAAGTCATAAAGCTGATATTGCAGGGTACATTAAACTATGAATGTTGAAATTCATGTCTTAATGTTTACTATGAGATTTCAATGAGTCTTCCTAGGATCTGTACAAAGAGATGTTAGCTTCTTAGAATTTTATAATTTCAAGTACCATATTTCCTCCAGGGAATTAAAATTAACTAATATTGCTAGCTGGAAAATATACACATACTATACACACTTATAAATATCTGCATCAGGAACAGTTAAGTAACACCGTGGATAGAGCACCAGACCTGCAGTCAGGAAGGCCTGAGTTAAAATCTGGTCTCAGAAACTTCCTAGCTGAGTGACCCTAGGCAATCACTTAACCTGTTAGACTAAGTTTCTTCATCTGTGAAACAGGGACAACAATAGCACCTACCTCTGAGAGTTGTTATGAGGATCACTGACATAATATCTGAAAAGCACTTAGTATAGTACCTGGCATATAGTAAGAACACATAAATGTTAGTTATTATTATTATTATCATTGAGGCTTCTTTCCCCTGTTAGGATCCTTGTGTTTTCAAAATATGTTCTCTCTCCACTACAAAATTTCAAGAGAAAAGCCTCTCCTTAAGAGGGCCTTTGATTCTTCTTTTAAATGATCCAAGGCCATATCTTCACAATGGCCAATTAATTAAGAGACTGGACTCCTTGGAAAGTTGAAGACCCACTGTCTTGTATACCCATGTAGTTTTAATTACTTCTCTCTTTCTTTTGCTTTCAACCCTAAAATTAGCCAAGATCTCCCCTGTCTCCCCAATTATAACTTTATGGATGATTGTCTGAGCCCAAACGGTGCCATAACTACTACAATCATAGATAAGATCCTCTACATTCCCCTTGTTAGCCAGCCTTGATTATACATGGACACTGCGATTCGATTTCTCTCATCTCCACATGCAGGAGGCAGATGAACATGAGTATTATAAATCTTGGTTATACATCTTCTCACTAGACAAAGTAATCTCAGAGGCCAAAGAAACAGAGCTACTGGGTTTTGTAAATAGTGCCCCTTAGGCTGTATTTTATTCCCTGCCTTAATGGAAACAACAGGATGAGCCTGACTGATTCTATCTTGAAGGAGGCCTGTACCATTGTAGAGATTTACTGCCAACACGAGATATTCTGATAAAACTAACCACTGCAAAATGCATTTTCCCACCAGAACAAATCTGACCTTTTGCAACTTCTGTGTCCCCAGGGCTTGCATATTTGTCCAATTCCATTCTGCTGCAGAATGCCACTGATTGGCTGTGTATGCTATAAGTTTCCCTAAAAAGCTATAAAAATCCAATCTATAGCTTATGAAGTGGAAGCTGTTACCAGCCCAAGCATTCTTTCTTAGTGCACTAATGAATTTCTTTTTCCTTTCAATCTGGCTACTCACTTTTTGACCTCCAGTGTTATAGATCTCATGATGGGTGAGATTCTCCCTGGGCTCTCATGGAACCCAGGCTGGGAAACTCCTGCAATACCCATCAACCAGTTACAGTACTCAAAGACCTGAAAGAATAGATCTGGAAGTAGAAAAAACAGAGAACCCCTTGGTGCTCCTCTGCCATTCCTGAAGCCCCTGAAAAAGAGCATGCATCCCTAACACATGTCAGAGATAAGAATTTTTGTGTACCAAGGGAAAAAAGTTGGGAAGCAAGGGAAGACATCTTGGAAGCTGCCACACCACCACCCCAATCTGGATGCAAATTTGGAGGACTACAGCATCTCCTTCCTCTCTCCAATATGCCTATGGCCTTGGCTGGTATACACTATATGCTTTGATAAATATCATTTATACATGTAAGCCTCCTCCTCCTCCTCCTCCTCCTCCTCCTCCTCCTTCTTCTTCTTCTTCTTCTTCTTCTTCTTCTTCTTCTTCTTCTTCTTCTTCTTCTTCTTCTTCTTCTTCTTCTTCTTCTTCTTCTTCTTCTTCTTCTTCTTCTTCTTCTTCCCCAGGGTCACACAGCTAGTAGGTGTCTGAGGCCACATTTTAACTCAAGTCCTCCTGACTCCAGGGTCAGTGCTCTATCCACATAGCAACCTAGCTGCCACTATATACATTTAAGTTTTATATATGTCTTTACTCTTTTTTCCTTCCCTATTGTGGACAGTGAGTTACCATGAAGTCATTCATTTGTAGAGAACTTTGCTACCAAATGTAAAATGTAAATGGGCAGGTGATAATAATCAAGACTCCTCATTTTAAACCTCTAGAACTCACATAGGGCCCTCATTCAAATTGCTGCCTTGAGTAGACCTAATTCATCTAGTAAGCTTCAGATAGAATTTGAACCCACATCTTAGGGATTTCAAATCCAGCACTCTATCCACTACTCACACAGCCTCTCAACAAAGAAACTTTAAAAATTGTGTTTTTCATTATGTCCACTATACATCCTCCCATTGAAATTTGTGTGAAAATGTGTGGGAAATCTATAAAAAAAAAAAAAAGGTCAGTGATAAAAAGACCCCATATATACCAAAATATTTGTAACAGCAAATTTGTAGCAAAGAACTGGAAACAAAGTAGACAGACACCCGTTAGCAGGGAATGGCTAAAAAAGTATGCTACATGAATATAATAGAATATTACTATACTGTAAGAAATGATGAATATGAAAAATACAGAAAATTATGGGGAGACACATGAGATGATACGAAGTGGAGGAAGCAAAAGCAGGAATATATAGTGACTACAACACTATAGGAGCTAGGTGGCACCATAGATAGAGTACTGGACCTGGATTCAGGAACTCCTGAGTTCAAATCCAGCCTCAGACACCTACTATTTGTGAGACCCTGGGCAAGTCACTTAATCTGTTTGCCTCAGTTTACTCAACTGCAAAATGAGGATAATAATAGCACCTACCTCCCAGAGTTGTTGTATGGATCAA